CAAATACACAACTAAATAAATATATTACTGAAATAAATAGTGTTTTAATATTTTCAGGTGTTCAGGGAGAGAAACTGTGATCAAATGTAAAACAAAACCACTTTATAACTAAAATATACATCAAAAATATAGTTCGAAAACTTATTCAGTGGAGAACGAGTGTATTTTGTCGTTTGGTGTTATTATAGAGGCGGCTGCAGGAACGTTAGGCTACTGTCACTTTAAGAGCTGCACTATATACTAAATCACGCCTGCCGCTCTGAAAACAGCATGAAACATTAAACCTCGAATGGTTTAAAATCACATTATTATCACTGTTTCTGTGCGCATGTTTTGGATGTGTGTGTGCAGCACATAAAACAGTGTCTTGCATTTGTTGAATTTTATTTCAAGCATTCGATTCCCAACCCCATCACTGTCATTTCACGCCACCCCACATATGATCAATATAATAATTCCTCATGGGTTTGATCCCAGAGCACCATGCATTGCTGTATCTTGACCTCCACTCACCTTTGACCTCTGACACCTCATGACAGACGGGCCCAGCGCGCCGCCGGATGTGACCGGCCTGTGGGAGCGCTCGGTGCATGAGGAGCGTCCACAGGTGGCGTCGGTGCGAGGGCTTCCCCGCGGACACACACACACCAGCGTCCTGGAGACGGCCGACGGTGAGTCACACACACTCACACACACCTCTCTGTCCTGTCATCTCATCTCTCCACTGCATACTGACACACTGGTGTGTTTAGCTCTGCTCCAAACCCTACAGATCCCATCTGACGACACTTCATTCCAATGCAGTTTGACTAATTGTAATGTTGTTAAGAAGAAGTGCGCTAAATTGTATTGAATATGCACTTGTAGTCTTCAAATGTTAAAAGTATGTTTATTAGTGCTGGGCAATGATTAATCACATCCAAAAAAAAAGAGTTTCTGCTTAATGTGTGTGTACTGTGCATAATTATTTTGTATATATATAAATAAAAACACACATGCATGTATATATTTAAGAAAAATGTGTAATTTATATATAAAATATTTATATATATATATAAATGATGTGTAAATATATATACAGTATATATATGCAAATACTTCTTTAAATATATACATGCATGTGTGTGTATTTATAAATACAAAATAATTATGCACAGCACACACACATATATTATGTAAACATTCTTATAAAACTATGCTTATAGATAATATACTACTAATGAAATAAAAGGTCTCTTAAAACGGGACACTATCATATTCAATATATATACACACAATATTAATTGCGACAATGATGTCCATTACATTCAGTTCACACTTAAGTTTATTACTTTAAAATATAGTATTTCTAAAGTAAGTACTCTTTTTAATAGTATGCTTGAATGTACTTCTTTTTCACTGGGCGTAACATATTTAATTTCTGATTTCTGTCAACTGATCCCACACTTACGTTTTCACTCTAAAGCTGGAGGCTTTGGATCAGAGCTAATGAGATGCATTTACAGTTCATATTGAAACCTAGGGGAGAGAGAGAGTCATATTTCTGGCTGTTTATTGGTCTGATCCTGCTTGCTCAAGCCAGATATTATGATGTCATCAGCATGTTTTGTTTTTTGTGGGAATAATTCACTAAAAATGAAAACGCTGTCATCATCTCCTCACCCTCATGTCTCTTTTCCACCCATCAGACTTGGTGCTGATAATGTCACTAAGAACTGATGTAGTTTGGTACCCGAGTCACCGTCCATCTTCATTATAGGGAAAAGACACTATATTCTACTGAGGGGGAATCATACAATGGTTTTTGAGCGTGTGTAGATGATGACTCATCGATTTTCATTTTTAGGTGTACTGTCCCTTTAAGACACAGAGCTGAACGTCCCATCAGGATCATGATTAACCTGCTTTTTTGTCCTCCCATGATGTGGTGTGTTAGTTCTTGGAAGGATGGCTATGTGGTGGTGATTTTGTTGATGTTTGAGAGGCCTCAGCTCTGCTGTGATGAACATGCGTGTTTATTGAGGTTTTCTCTTCTTCAGGCACTGACAGGGGCGATGGGGAGGCCACGGATGGTATTTATACTCGTTTATTTCACTCTGCCCCTCCTCCTGGTGTCTCTGTGCATCTGTGTCTAAGACGTGACCTCTGTGTTCGTTATGATCGCAAGAAAAATATTTCCTCCTAATGTGTCTCTTTTTGTCTTTTCAATGTTGTTTATTCTTTCAAGGGCTTTCACAGCATTCAGAATAGGGTTTGCAGTATGATTAATACTGGTAGAAACAAAACATTACACAGTATTGACGTTTCTCAAATACAACACTCGGTTACACTTTATTTTAGTGTTCTTGTTGCATATTTTACATGTACTTAGTAATAACAGTAAATTAGGCACAATTACATGCAACTAACCCTCAACCAAACCCTAACCCTATATTAAGTACTTGGTTTTAATGTATATTACTCATTACTTACATATATATTAACACTGTAACAATGACACCTCAAAATAAATTCAACTTGGCAGCGGTCAACTTGGCAGGGGTCTCAGGCGTGGCGGCGGCCATCTTGGCAGGGGGCTCAAGCATGGTGGGGGCTCAGGCGTGGCAGTCGCAATCTTGGCAGGGGGCTCAAGTGTCGTGGCGGTCATATTGGGAGAGGGCTCAGGCGTGGCAGTGGCCATCTTGTCAGGGGGCTCAGGCGTGGCGGTGGCCATCTTGGCAGGGGGCTCAGGTGTGGCGGCGGCCATCTTGGCAGGGGGCTCAGGCGTGGCGGTGGCCATCTTGGCAGGGGGCTCAGGTGTGGCGGCGGCCATCTTGGCAGGGGGCTCAGGTGTGGCGGCGGCCATCTTGGCAGTGGGCTCAAGTGCGTTGGCGGTCATATTGGGAGAGGGCTCAGGCGTGGCAGTGGCCATCTTGGCAGGGGGCTCAGGCGTGGCGGTGGCCATCTTGGCAGGGGGCTCAGGTGTGGCGGCGGCCATCTTGGCAGGGGGCTCAGGTGTGGCGGCGGCCATCTTGGCAGTGGGCTCAGGCGTGGCGGTGGCCATCTTGTCAGGGGGCTCAGGTGTGGCGGCGGCCATCTTGGCAGATGGCTCAAATGTGGCGGCTGTCATCGTGGTGGCATTCATCTTGGCAGGTGGCTCAAGGATGACGGCGGTCATCTTGGCAGGGGGCTCAGGCGTGGCGGCGGCCATCTTGGCAGGGGGCTCAAGCGTGGCAGTTGCAATCTAGGCAGGGAGCTCAAGTGTGGCGACGGCCATCTTGGCAGGGGGCTCAGGTGTGGCGGTGGCCATCTTGGCAGATGACTCAAATGTGGCGGCTGTCATCGTGGTGGCATTCATCTTGGCTCAAGGATGACGGCGGTCAAGGATGACGGCTCGCGTCATCTCTGGCAGGGGGCTCAGGCGTGGCGGCGGCCATCTCGGCAGTGGGCTCAAGCGTAGCAGTTGCAATCTAGGCAGGGGGCTCAAGCATGGCGGCGGTCATCTTGGCAGGGGGCTCAGGCGTGGCGACAGCCATCTTAGCAGGGGGCTCAAGTGTGGCGGCGGCCATCTTGGGAGAGGGCTCAGGCGTGGCGATGGCCATCTTAGCAGAGGGCTCAGGCGTGGTGGTGGTCATCTTGGCAGGGGGCTCAAGTGTGGCGACGGTCAACTTGGCAGGGGGCTCAAGCATGGTGGCGGCCATCTTGGCAGGGGGCTCAAACGTGGCGACGGTCAACTTGGCAGGGGGCTCAAGCATGGTGGCGGCCATCTTGGCAGGGGCTCAAACGTGGCGACGGTCAACTTGGCAGGGGGCTCAAGCATGGTGGCGGCCATCTTGGCAGGGGGCTCACGCGTGGTGGGAGCTCAGGCGTGGTGGCGGCCATCTTGGCAGGGGGCTGAAGCGTGGTGGGGGCGGCCATCTTGGCAGAGGGCTCAAGCGTGGTGGGGGCTCAGGCGTGGTGGCGGCCATCTTGGCAGAGGGCTCAGGCGTGGTGGCGGCCATCTTGGCAGGGGGCTCAAGCGTGGCAGTCGCAATCTTGGCAGGGGGCTCAAGTGTGGTGGCGGTCATCTTGGCAGAGGGCTCAGGCATGGTGGTGGCCATCTTGATGGATGGATGGATGGATGGATGGATGGATGGATGGATGTGTCTCTCATGACAGAGTGTCTCAGTCATGCATACTGTATATACATGACACATCGCTCTCTCTGTGGGTCCACACTCAGACGTTTGGCAGAGAAATGCGCGGCTCGATTCATCATGTGAATATGATCGTCCGCTCCTGTTCCCTTCTCTCCGTCGTGTGAAAGCCTGTGTTTACCTGGATAGAAACATTTGATGGGTGATTCTGTTATAAATCAGCTAAAATGTTCCTCAAACCTTTAAGATTTCTGTTCAATTTAACATCATTATTTTTCCACCATAAAGTTGAGAGTGCTCTTGTGGTGTTTCTGCGATTTCCCAAATTTCATTTACGTTTCTTAACTCAATAATATGGTGCATCATGTCATTTGAAATTTGTCATGATTTGAATGAATGATGCATTAATTTTACACCCTTAATGGTTAAACTATTTGTTTTGCCTCGTTGCTTTTTTTTTTTTTTTCATTTTTTGTCCAAAAACATATTTTGTATACGAGGAATTGCTCAGACACGCTTTGAACAATTAACAGGATCACCCTAGTGCTGTTGTGAGATTGTTAAACATGTATTGACTTTTGTCCCTGTGTTTCTTGTGAATGGAGTCTGATCTGTGTGAAGTGTACTAATGGTGAAGCCTACAGTGCAGAAAGCTCATGAATGGCTGATGAGATGGGTATTGTTGCTAGGCAGCACGAGTCCAGCAGTCTCTGATTCGCTGGGTCAGGTGTCTCTACTGAGCGCGCTCAGTACCATCTCAACCAACCCCATGGGCAAACAGCCTTACACTGACTGATAGGCTGGTGTGTGAAACTGTCCTTTCACACTGACCTTTCAACTCTCTCTCTCTGTCCCGTCTTCTCCTGACGCTATCTCTGTCCAAAGGCGTTCCAGTCAACAGTCGAGTGTCCTCCAAGATCCAGCAGCTCCTAAACACGCTGAAAAGGCCAAAGAGACCCCCTTTACGAGAGTTCTTTGTTGATGATTTTGAGGAGCTTTTGGACGGTAGGTTCATAACACTTCAGTCACGAAACTCGAGATCGGTTCTTTACGTGTAATCTGCTTGCAATCACATCATTCACGTCATTGGCCTCGGCTGATCCTGCAGCCAATGAGATGCTTGCTCAACATGTGAATAGTGTGATTCGGTGTTTGCTGTACCCTCCACCTTCCCAGCTCCACCTGTCTACATCTCCTACGGGATTTATGTGTGTCTATTTACGCAGCCGGTCACCAACATCGCCTGTTTTATTATCGGACAGGTTCAGTCACACTTCTTAGATTCTCCTTGTATAGTTTGAGATCCAAATGCAGCTTTATTTGAGTAATCCAGGATCGTAATCTATACGCAGACGAAGGGTCAAGCACAGGAAGGCAGTCCAAACAAACAAACAAAAGGCATAGAAGAAAAAGGAGAGATGCAGTGCAATCCATAGATATCCATAATAAAGGCTGGAGGCCTCGTCCGCTGCTGGCCAATGGAGGTCGACGTCCGCACTGGCGGCCATCTTGCCACAGGCAGCTCGCTCACTCCTAACATTGTGGTGCATGTAGTTTTTAAATAACCATAACTTGCTGAATTCTCTACCGATTTTCAAGCAGTTTGGTTTGTTCTAAACGTCAGAGATGTACAGTAGTTAGGGTTAGTGTGTGTCCCTAGTGACAGTGACCAGTTCCAGCGCAATGGCAAAACTTTGAGTAAAGCCTGAAACTGTTCTGTGGTTGAGCACAGACGACACTGAACACTATTTAGAGTCCCAGACTCAGATGAGATGAGTGGGTTCATTTTATTTTCAACAGAAATCCTCCAGAAACAGATGAATCTTTGTAACTAAAAATGTAATAAATGTCTCCACTACTAAAAGTGAGTCTCTCCGTAAGACTGCACTCGCTGCTGGGATCAGTGATACTTATGGTGCGTTCTATTATACCCAACGAACCGACTCGAACCTCGGATTTGACGTCACGTCCACGTTTCAAGCGTTCTATTATGTTTTGCTCGTCCGAGTCGGAGAAAGCTGTTGTAATGGTAGCACTGGCCGAGTACCAGGCACTTACATTAAAATAAACATATTATGACTACACCTCATCAAAACGCAGCCATTTGAACTTGAAAATGTTCAAGTTTTTCATGTTAATCTTCTGCTAGCAACGTTAGTAATTGCACTCACAACAACCGATTCCCATACCTACAGGGGACGCAGTAATACGAGTGATTATAACCGTCATTTAAAATACCAAAGCGGTTCAAAAACAATGAATACAATTCATTCTTACAAGTCACAGGGCGCGGCCATTTTGAATTCCGAAACGGATTTCTTGCTCGGTGTCCTCACGGTTGTCCGACGTCCGAGAGGAGAAATCCGAGGAAAGGGGGCGTGTTGCTAGGCAACGTCTGTCGTCCGTTTCGGATCTCCGAGACGGATGAATAATAGAACGCACCATTACTGCTGGAGTTTCTGAAGACTCCGCCCTCTTCTGAACAGAGGCGGAGCAAGAGCTCATTTGCATTTAAAGGGACACACACAAAAACGGGTTTTTGCTTAAACACAAAAAGGGGCGAATTCGACGAGCTGTAATGAGCTGAAATCTCACAGATGCATTCTGGGACACCAGAGATTGATACTACATCTTGTGAAAAGGGGCATAATGTCGTCACCTTTAAGAAATGATTTCACAAACAGAATTTTGTTTAGACATGATGTTATGATTTGATTATTTGCGTACATTAGTGACTATACGCTTTGTGGTGTACATTACAGTCCAGCAGCCGGACCCGAGCCAGCCCAAGCCCGAGGGGGGTGAGATGCGAGCGCTGAACGGGGATCCGCTCGGTGTGATCAGCAACTGGCCTCCGTCGCTCCTGGCCTCTCTTCAGCGCTGGGGAAACACACATCCCAAGAGCCCCTGCCTCACAGCGCTGGACAACACCGGCAAACCCGTCTACACACTCACATACGGTACGCCCGAAGCCATTTACTCAACAGTGCTTTCACAAACTGTGTACTCAAGATTCTGCCCGTCTTTCTTAAACTAGACTGATAGACTAATGCATTTGTAATCTTTAGTTCATGTTCAAAATCTGGCTAATATAAAGAAGTGCGCTCAATTGTACTGAATTATTAATTTATTTAATTATACTTGGCTACTTAAGTGCACTTTTAGGACTGTTTCTTAACACACTTAAGTACTTCTGTAATGTCAAATTAAAAGCTTAAATTTAAAGTACAGTTTAAATTGTAATGTTTTAGTAGTCTTTTGTCATGCGCTAAAGAAGTACGCGGTAACACTTTATTTTACAGGATCCTTTTTACATATTTTACATGTACTTACCATAGTAATAACAGTAAATCATGCATAATTACATCAACCAAACCCTAACCCTATGGTAAATACACGTTAATTAATATAACTCAGTACTTACATGTATAATTACACTGTAACAACGTCATCTTAAGATAAAGTGTAACCAAATACACTTATTTTGATGTGTTGACTAACATACTAAAGCACATGTGAAGTATTTTTACTGCAGTGTGTTATTCGATATTACATGTAAAGTTCATTTATATTAAATGTAATTTGCAACTTCATTACAAATATATACAATAAAAGCTCAACAGAAATGACACAAGTATATTTTAGTTTAGCATAAATGCTTGTCCAAGATGTCCGTGTCTTTCTTTCTTCAGTCGAAAAGAAATTAAGGTTTTTGATGAAAACATTCCAGGATTTTTCTCCATATAATGGACTTCAATGGGGTCCAAATGGCTCAAGGTCCAAATGAGAGTTTCAGTGCAGCTTCAAAGGGCTTTAAATGATTCCAGACGATGAATAAGGGTCTTATCAAGTGAAACGATCGCTCATTTAATGAATAAATAACAAAGTTTAAGTTTTATAAGCTCAAATGGTCGCCTAGTTCTGTTCTCGTGACTCTCCTGTTCAAATGCGTTCATCAAAATGAACGAATCTTTTCCGTGTCAATTCGTTCGTTTCATTCGTTGAATGAACCAAATGACACGAAAAAAGGTTTGTTCATTTTGATAAACGAGTTCGAACAGGAGAGTCACGAACGGCTGAAATCGTTTAAAGCCCTTTGAACAGTTTGCACTGAAACTCTCATTTGGACCTTGAACCGTTTGGACCCCATTGAAGTCCATTATATGGAGAAAATCCTGGAATGTTTTCTTCAAAAACCTTAATTTCTTTTCGACTGAAGAAAGAAAGACATGGACATCTTGGATGACATGGGGGTGAGTAAATTATCAGCAAAAGTTTTTTTTTTACTGAAGTCAAAAACACTAAAGTTCAGCCGATTGCATTTAATCTAAGTTTAAACTATGATACTTTTAATATAATTGCAATTACCATGCAATTATACCATTGCATTCAGATCCCGCTATATTCTTTTAAAGTATATTATTTCCATAATAAATACTCTTTTCAAGAGTGTGCTTCTGTTTCACAAGGGTAATCGTGTATGTGTGGACTGGTTTTACTGGTAATGGTGAATGAGCTGGTATTGATGAGTGAACAGAGAGCGCAGGACTGAATGTGTGTGTGTGTGTGTGTGTGTGTATAATCATGTGTTCACAGGGAAGTTGTGGACGCGGAGTCAGAAGCTTGCGTTTACGCTGCTGAATAAACTGAGCAGCAGGAATGAGCCACTGCTGCGGCCCGGAGACCGAGTGAGTGTGTGTGTGTGTGTGTGTGTGTTATCATCAGGGCTTCACACTCAACACACAATCAGTGCATCAGATCAGGGGTTTAAACGGGTCGTGATTTCGAGAACGATCATAAACATAGCATATGTTACCAAGATATCATATGATAGCTAATCAAACAAGTGTTTTCTAACTACTTAGCTACGCTAGTAGGCTAAGATGTTAGCTTGCTTGCTAAAGATGTTTAGTTTTTGATCATTTTTAGTTTTAATAATGTTTAAAATATCCAAAAGCCACTAGATCAGTGTTGTATATTTAGTCGATGACTTTTGTACTTACTTTATCCCAAGTGTTTCAAACAATGTTTACATCCGGAGAAATCGGGCGATTTTAACCAGTGTAATGTATAAATATGTAAATATAACTGTTAAATGTAACGATTTCTGCATATAAGCATAATAAAAACAGCCAGGTAAAATGTCCTCTTGTCTGCTCTGCTTCATACTACAGTAATGTTAATAAACTGTAATACATTTGCTCATCTATGAGCTCGAGTCCTCCTGTTGGATTGCTGTCCATCAGCTGTGGAGATGAAGACAACAACTCCCACAATCCCACGCTCATATACAGTGTCATCAAGCTACGTCTGTGTTATTGTTTTCAATTACTGACCTCTACTGGTCAAACTTACATACTGCGCCTTTAATTGCGGAAAAATGTACAAAATGACAAAAAAAAAAAAAAATACAGAAAATGTTATAATAATATATAAAGGATACTAGAATAACACTTAGTGACACACCAGAGTGATGGATGTTACAGGGTCAGAATAAAAGACATGATGCAAAAAACAGGATGATAAACAACAATAACACAAATCTGTTGCTCTGTCTCCACAGGTTGCCCTTGTGTTCCCGAACAACGATCCGGTGATGTTTATGGTGGCGTTTTACGGATGTCTGCTGGCAGAGCTGGTGCCGGTGCCCATAGAGGTGCCACTCACTCGAAAGGTGTTGATCAGCACACACACACACACACAACAGATAATACACCACCTGATGTCCTCTCACACCCTCATTATCCTTAAAACCAGCATCACGTTACCAAAACTGCAAACAGTATAAAAAAACAGGCTGCTAGTCAAATGATCATGTTGCTGTAACCCTCTTCACCGGGTCATTTTGACCCGAAACTCATTTTTTTAAAAAAACATTTGAAATTGAGTGTTCATCAATTCCCTTGGAGTTTTGTCGCACTTCAACCATGAATACACACAACATTTTGAATGGTTGAAAAGTAACAAATCCCTCCCTCGCGGGTCAATTTGACCCCCATAGGAATGAATTGAATGCGAGGAATGCTTCAGTACACATTTAAAAACCTAAAAATGCTCAAAATTCAAACTAAAAACGCTAAATCTTTACCAAAAAAAATTATGATATAACGTCTACGTGTGTATCTGAATGCATCCGAAGGAAGGCTGGCTTTAGGACCCAGAGGAACAGCTCATTTGCTCCATATAGACTAGAGCTATGAGGCCATCTAGTGGCAAGAGTCATGAATAGCATGTTATATTATTTTATTCCCACCAGAGGTCGGCAAAGACACCCAATGTGACATCATTTCAGCTGAATTAAAAGGGTTATGCATGAAATTGTGAGCATTATTTTGAATTTAATTACTAAATTAGTATTTTTTTTTATTACTTATAGATAAAATCTAGTAATTTAAAGGTAAATAATATATATATATATATATATATATATATATATATATGAAGAGTTCAGATGCAAAAGCCTCTAAGTGCCTTTTGAAATTTTCTTCTAAAATGATGATTTTTATCAAGCTTGTATATTTAAGTTCAGTAATTTCACTTAAATGGCAATGAAGATTACCTATTAATTGTTATTTAAGTGAAATTACTGAACTTAAATATACAAGCTTGATAAAAATCATCATTTTAGAAGAAAATTTCAAATGGCATTTAGAGGCTTTTGCATCTGAACTATATATATAAAGGATACAGCATATTAATACAGATATTGCACATGGTAAGTGGTGACTTATAAATAGAGTTATTCCACTTTATAAATAAAACTATTATTGTAATAACCCAGTCCTGTTCTCATGTGGCTCTCTGCACAGGCTTCAGTGAGATACAGTGGTTATGGGATTATTTTGTGAGTTTTTGAGTTCACACAGAGAGAGAGAGAGTATGTGAGTGCTGTGTGTGACTGTCTCTCGCCCCTCCGCAGGACGCCGGCGGGCAGCAGGTGGGCTTCCTCCTGGGCAGCTGCGGGGTCACGCTGGCTCTGACCACTGACGCCTGTCAGAAGGGCCTTCCTAAAGCTCAGACCGGGGAAGTGGTCACTTTTAAAGGTGGGTCATTAACACAAGCCAATTCAGTCATCAACTACTGACCCTCCCAAACCCACGAGACCTTCATTCACATTCAGAACACACATGAAGATGTTATTGATGAAATCTGTTGCCGTGGTGGAAACAGTGCAGCGCTTCAGGGTTGGATCATTATTGGCCGACGCTGGTCATGTGTGCGACGACCCAAAAATATCTTCATGTGTGTTCTGAAGATGAATGAAGGTCTTACGGGTTTGGGAGGGTCAGTAGTTGATGACTGAAATTTCATTTTTGGGTGAACTATCCCTTTAATAGTGCTGTTTCTAAGCCTGAGGTGTGTGTGTGTGTGTGTGTGTGTGTGTTCACAGGCTGGCCTCGACTGCTGTGGTTTGTCACGGATGGAAAGCATGTTGTAAAGCCTCCTAAAGACTGGCATCCTCCGATACGAGAAGCCGGCGATGAGATCGCGTACATCGAGGTCAGAGTCCACACACCACACACACACACACACACACACACACACACACTCACACACACACACACACACACACACTCTCACACACACACACTCACACAAACATCTATCTATGCCTGTCTCTCTATCTATCTATCTATCTATCTATCTATCTATCTATCTATCTATCTATCTATCTATCTATCTATCTATCTATCCATCCATCCATCCATCCATCTTTCTATCTATCTATCTATCTATCTATCTATCTATCTATCTATCTATCTATCTATCTATCTATCTATCTATCTATCTATCTATCTATCCATCTATCATCTATCTTTCTATCGATCTATCTATCTATCTATCTATCTATCTATCTATCTATCTATCTATCTATCTATCCATCCATCTATCATCTATCTTTCTATCGATCTATCTATCTATCTATCTATCTATCTATCTATCTATCTATCTATCTATCTATCTATCTATCTATCTATCTATCTATCTATCTATCTATCTATCCATCCATCTATCATCTATCTTTCTATCTATCTATCTATCTATCTATCTATCTATCTATCTATCTATCTATCTATCTATCTATCTATCTATCTATCCATCCATCCATCCATCCATCTTTCTATCTTTCTATCTATCTATCTATCTATCTATCTATCTATCTATCTATCTATCTATCTATCCATCCATCCATCCATCTATCATCTATCTTTCTATCTATCTATCTATCTATCTATCTATCTATCTATCTATCTATCTATCTATCTATCTATCTATCTATCTATCTATCTATCTATCCATCTATCCATCCATCCATCCATCTATCATCTATCTATCTATCTATCTATCTATCTATCTATCTATCTATCTATCTATCTATCCATCCATCCATCCATCTATCATCTATCTTTCTATCTATCTATCTATCTATCTATCTATCTATCTATCTATCTATCTATCTATCTATCTATCTATCTATCCATCTATCCATCCATCCATCTATCATCTATCTATCTATCTATCTATCTATCTATCTATCTATCTATCTATCTATCTATCTATCCATCTATCCATCCATCCATCCATCTATCATCTATCTTTCTATCTATCTATCTATCTATCTATCTATCTATCTATCTATCTATCTATCTATCTATCTATCTATCTATCCATCCATCCATCCATCCATCCATCCATCCATCCATCCATCCATCCATCCATCCATCCATCCATCCATCCATCCATCCATCTATCATCTATCTTTCTTTCTATCTATCCATCCATCAGTAATCTGTCCTCTTCCTCCACACAGTATAAGAGCAGTAAGGAGGGCAGCACGATGGGCATCACCGTGTCTCACGCTGCGATGTTATCTCACTGCCATGCGCTCACACAGGCCTGTGGATACACGGAGGGTGAGTGTGTGCGACACACACACACACACACACACACACACACACCGGCTCTTCTGAGACCGGCACTGCAGGTCTATGTGTCCCACTTCCCTCTCTAAATAAGTTCTCAGAAACCCCTAACACACTCCACACACACACAGTAAACACACACCGCTCTGTATCTCTTACACTGGGGTTGATTACACATGGAACTGTTATCAGGGGTATTACTGTAAGATCCACACAATGAAACATTCTTTAAAAGTTGAGATATGATTTATGATGTTTTACTTGCTGTATTTCTTGCTTTTTACATATATATTTTCCATCATATATCATGTTTCCTGTGATTTTTCCTCACGTGTACAGGCGAGATTATAACAAACGTGCTGGACTTCAAACGAGACGCCGGTCTGTGGCACGGGGTGCTCACGGTGAGTCTTCAGAAACACACACACTAGTGCGATCGACATCTGGTGACACACACACACACATGCTTACAAAGATCGATACCCTCACACTCATCCAGCTGTCTCTTGCTTTCCCATCCGGTGTCCTTGGCAACGGCTGTCGTGGTGATGTGTGTGTGTTCAGAGTGTGATGAACCGACTGCACGTGATCAGCATCCCATACTCTCTGATGAAGGTCAACCCTCTCTCCTGGATACAGAAAGTCCACACCTATAAAGGTGAGTGTGTGTGTGTGTGTGTGTCATGGGCTTTTAACTCTGAGCTATGGCCACTTACACGTGGATGAACCAAATGGTATAGTTGCTGAACTGATGTAAAACTTTGTTTAGGAATTGGTATCTTGAAATGAATCAACTTGTATCGACAGACTTTTATAATGTTACCAAAGATAAAAATAAATGCTTTTCCATGAAGCATTGCTTGGTCACTGGTTGAGCTAAACTGGTATTATCTAATTGTGTAGTTCAATTTAACAGATATTCAACATAATTCATGTGTGAGAGTCCAACAGAAGGACAAAACCAGTCAAACATCCACTGATCTGACAACTCAGAGTTCTAGATACTAAACTATAGCAAATAAACTGTGATGATGTGAGAAATGTTGAGGGTGAAATTTTGGTATGACTAAGGATTTTTAGACAGTGCTGTATATTTCTTCAAATTATTTCTCCATATTATCTGAATCATGAGGATTTATTCACAATATTTAAAAAGACTCACTGTTCCACCTACTGGTGTAATGATGTAACTACAGGGGTGTGTGTGTGTGTGAAATTTCCACTGCGAAAAATCTTATTTATAACATTCTTACAAAGATACATTTAGATTTGATGAAAACAGAACATTGTGAAGTGAAAGTACACAGGATTGCTGTAGATTTTGGACATGTAATTTTAAGTGTGCTAGTTGGTATATACACAGAATCCAGACAGTAAACACCTACGTATTTCTCCCCACAGCTGTTATTATATCTTATATTTTAGCAGCTAAAATTGCTGTCAAGTCAGCATCCATGAGCACAACTGTCTATTTACAGCATAACCTCTAATGTTAGTGGATTATCACTGAGTGTGAGTGTTGACTCTTCACCCAGCGCGTGTCGCAGTGGTGAAGTCCCGGGACATGCACTGGTCGCTGTTAGCCCAGCGGGATCAGAGGGACATCAGTCTCAGTTCCCTCCGCATGCTCATCGTGGCTGACGGAGCCAATCCCTGTGAGTGAACGCTTGCACGTCCTCAGAGTGAAACTCATGCTGGACTGTCGCCGGGTCGGCTAACTTCACTGTGTGTGTGTGTCGAAACGCAGGGTCTATTTCGTCTTGTGACGCCTTCCTGAACGTCTTCCAGGCCCGCGGACTGCGTCCCGAGGCGATCTGCCCGTGTGCGAGCTCCTCCGAGGCCATGACCGTCGCCATCCGCAGGTACACTGGCCACACCACAGCTGATATACAACACATTACAGCTAATACACACTAACACAATAAACACCAACACATAACAGCTAATACACACCAACACATTACAGCTAATACACACTAACACATCACAGCTAATACACACTAACACATTACAGCTAATACACACTAACACAATAAACACCAACACATAACAGCTAATACACACCAACACATTACAGCTAATACACACTAACACATTACAGCTAATACACACTAACACATTACAGCTAATACACACTAACACATTACAGCTAATACACACTAACACATTACAGCTAATACACACTAACACATTACAGCTAATACACACCAACACATTACAGCTAATACACACTAACACATTACAGCTAATACACACTAACACATTACAGCTAATACACACTAACACATTACAGCTAATACACACTAACACATTACAGCTAATACACACTAACACATTACAGCTAATACACACTAACACATTACAGCTAATACACACTAACACATTACAGCTAATACACACCAACACATTACAGCTAATACACACTAACACATTACAGCTAATACACACTAACACATTACAGCTAATACACACTAACACAATAAACACCAACACATAACAGCTAATACACACCAACACATTACAGCTAATACACACTAACACATTACAGCTAATACACACTAACACATTACAGCTAATACACACTAACACATTACAGCTAATACACACTAACACATTACAGCTAATACACACTAACACATTACAACTAATACACACTAACACATTACAACTAATACACACCAACACATTACAGCTAATACACACTAACACATTACAGCTAATACACACTAACACATTACAGCTAATACACACTAACACATTACAGCTAATACACACTAACACATTACAGCTAATACACACCAACACATTACAGCTAATACACACTAACACATTACAGCTAATACACACTAACACATTACAGCTAATACACACTAACACAATAAACACCAACACATAACAGCTAATACACACCAACACATTACAGCTAATACACACTAACACATTACAGCTAATACACACTAACACATTACAGCTAATACACACTAACACATTACAGCTAATACACACTAACACATTACAGCTAATACACACCAACACATAACAGCTAATACACACCAACACATTACAGCTAATACACACTAACACATTACAGCTAATACACACTAACACATTACAGCTAATACACACTAACACATTACAACTAATACACACTAACACATTACAACTAATACACACCAACACATTACAGCTAATACACACTAACACATTACAGCTAATACACACTAACACATTACAGCTAATACACACCAACACATTACAGCTAATACACACTAACACATTACAGCTAATACACACTAACACATTACAGCTAATACACACTAACACAATAAACACCAACACATAACAGCTAATACACACCAACACATTACAGCTAATACACACTAACACATTACAGCTAATACACACTAACACATTACAGCTAATACACACTAACACATTACAGCTAATACACACTAACACATTACAGCTAATACACACTAACACATTACAACTAATACACACTAACACATTACAACTAATACACACCAACACATTACAGCTAATACACACTAACACATTACAGCTAATACACACCAACACATTACAGCTAATACACACTAACACATTACAGCTAATACACACTAACACATTACAGCTAATACACACTAACACATTACAGCTAATACACACTAACACATTACAGCTAATACACACCAACACATTACAGCTAATACACACTAACACATTACAGCTAATACACACTAACACATTACAACTAATACACACTAACACATTACAACTAATACACACCAACACATTACAGCTAATACACACTAACACATTACAGCTAATACACACTAACACATTACAGCTAATACACACTAACACATTACAGCTAATACACACTAACACATTACAGCTAATACACACCAACACATTACAGCTAATACACACTAACACATTACAGCTAATACACACTAACACATTACAGCTAATACACACTAACACAATAAACACCAACACATAACAGCTAATACACACCAACACATTACAGCTAATACACACTAACACATTACAGCTAATACACACTAACACATTACAGCTAATACACACTAACACATTACAGCTAATACACACTAACACATTACAGCTAATACACACTAACACAATAAACACCAACACATAACAGCTAATACACACCAACACATTACAGCTAATACACACTAACACATTACAGCTAATACACACTAACACATTACAGCTAATACACACTAACACATTACAGCTAATACACACCAACACATTACAGCTAATACACACTAACACATTACAACTAATACACACCAACACATTACAGCTAATACACACTAACACATTACAGCTAATACACACTAACACATTACAGCTAATACACACCAACACATTACAGCTAATACACACTAACACATTACAGCTAATACACACTAACACATTACAGCTAATACACACTAACACAATAAACACCAACACATAACAGCTAATACACACCAACACATTACAGCTAATACACACTAACACATTACAGCTAATACACACTAACACATTACAGCTAATACACACTAACACATTACAGCTAATACACACTAACACATTACAGCTAATACACACTAACACATTACAACTAATACACACTAACACATTACAACTAATACACACCAACACATTACAGCTAATACACACTAACACATTACAGCTAATACACACTAACACATTACAGCTAATACACACTAACACATTACAGCTAATACACACTAACACATTACAGCTAATACACACTAACACATTACAGCTAATACACACTAACACAATACAGCTAATACACACTAACACATTACAGCTAATACACACTAACACATTACCCCAGATAGCAAACTGACATTGAATCAACGTGGAAACAACGTCTCTCATGACATTGAAACAACGTTGATTTTGCTCATCGAATTAACGTTGAACCAACGTCAGACGCGGCATTCTTCAAAGCTAAATGAAAATCGAAAATTGGTTTGCTTTCATAACGTTGAAACAACGCTTTGATTTCAAGTTGATTTTCCGTTAGTTTTGAAAGAATGACGCGTCTGACGTTGGTTCAACGTTAATTCGATGAGCAAAACAATGTCAGATCAACGTTGTTTCGATGTCATATTTCCACGTTGATTCAATGTCAGTTTGCTATCTGGGACAGCTAATACACACCAACACATTACAACTAATACACACTAACACATTACAACTAATACACACTAACACATTACAACTAATACACACTAACACATCACAGCTAATACACACTAACACATCACAGCTAATACACACCAACACATTACAACTAATACACACTAACACATTACAGCTAATACACACTAACACATTACAGCTAATACACACTAACACATCACCGTTGAAGCTTGTTTCCGCTTAACATTGAATTTGCATATATGGCATAATGCTCAGGTGTGCATAACAAAACCAGCTCCGGGTGTGTTTGTGTGTGTGTTCAGGCCTCCAGAGATGGGTGTTCCTCCCCCGGGTAAAGCGGTGTTGTCCATGAGCGGTCTGAGTTACGGCGTGATCCGGGTCGACACCGAGGAGAAGCTCTCCGTTCTCACGGTGCAAGATGTCGGACAGGTCATGCCTGGAGGTGCGTCTCTTCACTCTTACGCTGTGTTTAATATTAATAATATTAATCATTTGGAGACTATGAATATGAACCGTTGTGCCGCTGCTTATATTGACCACGCTGTAAAAATGCCCAAACGCTATTTCTACATCATCATCGCACATGCGCAGTGCTTTCAGTTTCACTTCTCAATACGATCAAATGTCCACATGTTCCCTCGATCGGATTAGAAAAGGAAGAAACCTCATCTTTCAATCCCATCGAAAGTACGTTGGGATCGAGCTCATTTGGATCGGTTAAGGTGTTTACATGAAGGCTTTTCAGTCTGATTGAGCCGTCAATCCGATTAAGCCTAAGTCCCTCCACCATGTGACCTTATTTCGGAAAAATATTGAATGGTAGTCAATGGCGAGAGACAACAAATATTTTGATCTGGTTTGAATTGTGCCCTGAATTACACATATGATGTTTGTCAATTTAAAAGATACATTTTAAAGTAAAGAAAGTCGCAGTTTGATGTAAAACCGTTGAGGTATAAGACTGTGAAAATACGTAATTACAAAGACTACAAATCCCAAAGGCGCACATTTTCTCTCATGAATGAAGCTAACTTTACTGAGGCTAATGTCTGTCATTGTTTCTACAGTCTTACGTTATAATCGTAACGTTACGAGTGTTTTGTACCAAACTGCACACACACGAGCAGCGGATCTCGCTCGTTGTTTCGCTTCCCGGGAGATGTAGTTCATAGAGCGATTTTCACATAAATCTAAATGTTACTCTTCTGTTTTATGACAAAATGTGACGTTTTTGACTTTAGGAATTATCTGTTAAATTGACAAACATCATATGTGTAATCGAGGGCACAGCTCAGACGGAATAAAAGGATAAGTTGTCTCTCGCCATTGACTACCATTCATATTTTTTCCGAAATAAGGTCCCATGAGCCGGAAGCGGAGGGGCGGGACAAAAGCATTGTAAACTTCAACTAATTGCATTTAAAATCCATTTAAACTGTATTTTTGTATTTATTATTTCAATTAAGTGAATTAGATCATTCGTGTGAATTTTTGTGAATTTTAGTGAATTTTTTTTTTTGGAGATATCAACTTTAAATATGAAACATGACTTGTTTAGATTTATGACTTTGATTTTCTCCTCACAGTTTTAGAGTAAAACATGTTTTGGAAAATATATATTTAATATAAAAATGTAAAATATTATTGTTGTGCACTTTTCATAATAATACAATAATACAATCCCTTTTTATACTTCAGCAATAATCTGCCATGTGTCGTCTTTAAAAAGAGACCAAACTGATCCAAAACATCCAGATTTAGGATTTGGAGATTTCATTGTCAGGTCTATGCTGAAAAAACAATGTATAAATGGATTATAACTACTGTATAAATATAATTTAGTACCATTAAATCCCATAAAAAAATGATCAAACTAAAATATAGTACATTATAAGGAAGCGGAGGGGCGGGACTTAGGCTCTCTATTACTAACGGATTATTTGTTTGCATGTGAGCGTAGCCACTGATCCATAGACTGATAGACAGATGTGAATAGAGTGATGGAGCTTTGAGTGGATGTAGATGGTCTTAACGCTCTCCTGTGTGTGTGCAGCGCTGGTGTGTGTGATCCGGCTGGAGGGAACGCCGTACCTGTGTCGAATGGATGAGGTGGGAGAGATCTGTGTGAGCTCCAACAGTACGGGGATCTCTTACTACGGTCTGCCAGGAATGACCAAGAATGTCTTTGAGGTGAGTGTTGGAGGCTCCAGGGATTTCGAAACATTGTGTTGGCCTTAACAAATTTCAATCAATAATGGGAGTTAGGGCTGAAGGATTTGGGAAAGACAACAAAAACAATTAACTGTTCACAAAGACCCGCCCCCTTACTGTTGCTAAAAATACATCGCGGAGCAGAGACGACTCAGACCAGCTTACTTGTCTCAACTTTCAAATTTGGTACATTTTTAGAGAAACCTAAACAATAAATAGTATTTAGTGGCTGTTTAATGTGTCTGACAGATCGCTAGAGCCTCAGTTGAAGCTGCTCCTTCTAGTTCATTTATAGCATCAGATAAACGTGAATGAACATCAGAAGGAATGTTGTTTTAACCGCGGAAAAACGTCAATACACACCGTTTCTCAAGTTCAAATCCACTTACGTTAATCTAATATGTCTCCTGACTGCTTTGTCAGACAAATGGCGGATTCGGCGAATGGGGGATTATGATTGGTCAGATCGCCTGTCAATCACACTCAGTGCAGTGCTTGTTTGTAGGGCTGCACAATTTGGATAAATTATGCATCAATTTGACTTAATTATTATTATTAGTAGTAGTATTTAACTGTAAAATAACAAATTGACTATTTAAGAAAAATATAATGAAGTAAAAAATAATAATAATTAACACCTATTTGAAATGCATAAAAAATGTCAATGGATTTGATTTGCACAGTTTAAAATGAACTAATAAAAGGGTACAAAAGTTAAGATTTCTGTAATAGTGCTAATAAACTAAATTTATTTTAATATCGCAAACGGGTTTGTATATTTATCATCAATAAATTAAATTTCTTTCAGTCTCATACATTTGAATTACAGCTATCTCTTTAAAAGAGCTTCTCTCGCAGGGCCACGCTTCTCTGTGAAACATGCGGCGCACAGATTTATTTCCTTAAATCTCAGCCTTCACGATTTGATGATGGCACTGAAGCCATAACGCAATTTCAGCTTTATTTTAATTAAACATGGTTGGGATTTTGGTTAACTTCAGTGACTCAAAAAGATTAAATCTGATTAATTCAGGGGTCCTTTCTGCAAGTTAAGGCCCTCGCACACTGAGTCCGAAATTTTCATTTGTGTTTATTCGTATTTATGATTCGGTGGCTGTGAATTGTCTAAACCAGTGGTTCTCAAACTTTTTCAGGAGGAGGCCCCCTTGTGTAGGGTGAATCCTTTTGTGGCCCCCCAAAAGAAAACTCATAACGAAAACATCCTCAAACGTACAATTTTACTTACAAATTTTAGATTGTACCAAAAACAAATGAATTTGTACAATGCTGGAACAACAGTTCTGTTTGTAGCTTTATGTCTTTGAATATACAAAATTAGTTAAATTGTACATTTCATTAAATATAACATTTTTTTAATAAAAAATAGTTTTGACAGTTAACAGTAATATTGTCTGAAAAGTGCAACAAAAGTATTGAATACTGAACATTTGTAATGTTCATAGTAAAAGATAAACACTGAAAAATTAATTTGCTGATTGTAAAAAAGTGCATTAAACTTCTTACATTAAGGTAGTAAATGACAGTCGCTCAAGTTTGGTTTGCAAATTTGAACAGCAATCTGTTTTTTCAGCAAGAAACAAAAAAAAAAAATTCTACTCTACTTAAAGAAATACTTTTTCAATATAGAAGACATAGAATTTTATACAAGTTTTACAATATAAAAGAAATCATGCAATGCAGATTTCACATAGGACAATCCAAACTTACATACAGGTAAAATAATTTTTTTAAATAATTTCATATTCTAGAATTTCTTTGCGGCCCCCCTAGCGCCATCTAGTGGCCCCCCAGGGGGCCACGGCCCCCAGTTTGAGAACCGCTGCTCTAAACACCTTTCAGACTGCTCGCTACGGACGCGAAAAACACAGAAAACTGAACCCAATCCGATTGTTTTTTATGACAGACAAAAGTTTCGGTGGCAGTGTGCAAGCGTGATTGACATAACATGAGCTTGTATTTATTTTTTAACGTGCGAAATTTTGGATGCACATTTCGGCCTTTACATTAAAGGAGAAGTTCACTTCAGAATTAAAATATCCTGATAGTTTACTCACCACCACGTCATACAAGATGTTCACGTTATTCTTTCTTCAATGGAAAAGAAATGAAGGTTTTTGAGGAACACACTCCCGGATGTTTCTCCATATAGTGTCTTCAGTGGTCCAGATGTGAGTTTCAGTGCAGATTCAAAGACAATAAGATCAGAATAAGAGTCTGATCTAGACAAACCAGCCGACATTTACAACGAAATACACATTTATATGCTTCAGGACATTTTAATTCTGAAGTGAACTACTCCTTTAATAACTTCATTGAATTGTTCACTCATTAAAATTGTTAATTAACGACTGAAGTCTTGCTATTATTCAAGCCTATAAATCTCCTAAGTGAATCTAGAAAGCCTTACTGTATGTTATTTTGTGCTGTCTTTAAAGCAACATTAAGAGTCAGCGTCCACAGCTTGTGACTTTTATTGTGAAATAAACACTCTGTTCCAGACCATTCCCGTGACATCATCAGGATCTCCCATCAGCGACCGGCCCTTCACACGCACGTCTCTCCTGGGCTTCATCGGCCCGGTGCGTTCTCTCACACGTCTTTAAAGCCCTCGTGTTTCAGAGCTGATGTTTGAGGATGTGTGTGTGGCGTTGCAGGATAATCTGGTGTTTGTGGTGGGAAAGCTGGACGGGCTGATGAGGGTGAGCGGGCGATGTCATAACGCAGACGACGTGGTGGCCACCGCGCTGGCCGTCGAGCCCATGAAGTTCGTGTACAGAGGACGGTAAATGCACTGCCTGTGACCTTTGACCTGATATTTAGCAGAGTAATGGGTAACACTTTACTTGAAGGGGTGTGCATAAGACTGAATATGAAGGAGGGCTTATGCATGTTTATAACAACTGTCATTAAAGGGTTAGTTCACCCAAAAATTGTACTCACCCTCATGTTGTTCCAACCCCGTAAGACCTTCGTTCATCTTCGCGACACAAATTAAGATATTTAAGATATTAAGATCGCTCCTGCATACAGTCCATAGGCTTCTTGAGGGAATGACACTTGCTGGCATCGAAAAGTCATTAAAGACATCGTTAAAATAGTCCAAGTGACTACAGGGGCTCAATCTTAAGTTTATCAAACGACGAGAACACTTTTGTGCGCAAAAACAAACAAAAATAATGACTTTATTTCAACTATTCACTTCCTTCTCCATGAGCCTGTAGTCAGTTAACGTAGTGTGATTGCGTAGAGCTACGTCACACGTAGGCTCACTATTGGCCGACGCTGGTCATGTGTGTGTGATGCGTGTGACGTACAATAACAGAAGCTTACGCTATTAAACTAGTAACCTGACTCGCGCAGAGGGAGAAATAAACCAATAGTTGAAATAAAGTCGTTATTTTTGTTGTTTTTTTGCGCACAAAAGTGTTCTCGTCGTTTGATAAATTTAAGATTGAGCCCCTGTAGTCACTTGGACTATTTTAACGATGTCTTTAATGACTTTTCGAGGACAGCAAGAGCCAGTCCCTCAAGAAGCCTATGGACTGTATGCAGGAGCGATCTTAATATCTTAAATATCTTAATTTGTGTTGCGAAGATGAACGAAGGTCTTACGGGGTTGAACAACATGAGGGTGAGTAAATACTGACAGAATTTTCATTTTTGGGTGAACTATCCCTTTAAGTGTCTCTGCTCGGGTTGTGATGTGGTTCTGTGTTGTCAGGATTGCAGTTTTCTCTGTTTCGGTTCTGCACGATGAGCGCATTGTTGTGGTGGCGGAACAGAGACCAGACGCTTCAGAAGAGGACAGCTTCCAGTGGATGAGCCGAGTGCTGCAGGTGAACACACACACACACATATGTATCAGCCCACATCTGGATGTGTACCGGATCTGGGCCGGATATGGACCGACACTATGTTGTTGTCTGGAATACACACACACACACACACACACATTATGTTAATTCAATCATGATAATAAAGACCGGATAAGTTTGTACAAAGTACACACCCCCCGCTCTGTCCCTCTCAGGCCATCGACAGCATCCATCAGGTGGGTGTGTACTGTCTGGCTCTGGTCCCGGCCAACACACTCCCCAAAGCTCCCCTGGGCGGCATCCACATCTCCGAGAGCAAGCAGCGCTTCCTGGAGGGAGCCCTACACCCCTGCAACGTGCTCATGTGCCCTCACACCTGCGTCACCAACCTGCCCAAACCCCGCCAGAAGCAGCCCGGCACCGGTCAGTGTGTGTGTGTGTGTACTGTCCGCTGTGCTGCATCTCACACGTCACATGACCTGTCCAATTAAAATTCGAATTTTCGATATTATTCGAATTTCAAACAAAACTGCACATTTCGGATTGTTGGTTTGAACTTGAGGAGCTGGAGGCATGATGCGTAACGGACGCGGTGTGTGTTTGGTAGTTTATCCAGTTCATATCTATCTAATGTGAAAATGGCGGGAAAAGACTATACTGACGAAAACACAGAGTTGGAGGCAAAATTTGTGCAACGACACACTTGACCATTTTACATCAGTTAGAGTGGAGTGTGTATTTGTGTGTGTGTGTGTGTGTGTGTTTTCATCAGCTGGAAAGAGCCAACAGAAAGCGCTCAGATTGTGTTTTTGATGAAAATGTAGATGTAGATCGTAGTGAGGAGAAGTGGAGTGCTTCTGAATGGCTTCTTGTGTTCATGTTCATTACGCTGTGTGTTGAAGTGTGTGTTCTCACACTGACAGTTTTATGCACTTTTGTAACCTAATTTTCCTTTCATGCACATTAAGGAACTTATATATTATTTTAGAACAATTTACAAAAGTTAATGCACTTTAAAAAGTGAACGTCATTTAGTTTCAATAAAAGATGAGATGCTTGATTGGTTTATATTTGCAGATTGCGCTCGCTTGCGTCCTCTAGTGGGCATAGGAGACAACACAGTACCTTTATACTCTAACATTAAAGTATTGCCTTTAGAATTCAAGTATAATTTGGATTTTGAAAGAAATAAAAATGGAGCTGTTCATCCGCTTTGACATCCCTAACCTGCCGTCTCTGTGCTTTCAGAGGTGGGTCCTGCGTCCATGATCGTGGGAAACCTGGTGGCAGGAAAGAGAATTGCTCAGGCCTGTGGGAGAGACGTGTCTCAGCTGGAAGACCATGATCAGGTGACGCACAGCACAACCTCCCGAACCACTGACAGCACAGGAGCACTTTAAAAAGAGAAAAATATACTCTCAAATATGCTTAACCCGGGGTTTCGGTCAAAAATATTCAATTAAATGTACTATATTTTAGTTTGATCTTTTTTTTATGGGATTTAATGGTACTAAATTATATTTATACAGTAGTTATAATCCATGTATACATTTTTTTTCAGCATAGACCTGACAATGAAATCTCCAAATCCTAAATCTGGATGTTTTGGATCAGTTTGGTCTCTTTATTAAAGACAACACATGGCAGATTATTGCTGAAGTATAAAAAGTGAACTTGAAAAAGTTATAAATGTATTGTTATGAAAAGTGCTCAACAACAACATTTTACATTTTTATATTAAATATATATTTTCCAAAACATGTTTTACTCTAAAACTGAGGAGAAAATCAAAGTCATAAATCTAAACAAGTCATGTTTCATATTTGAAGTTGATATCTCAAAAAAAAAAAATGAAATTTTGACTTTCAGAAAGTTTAACTTAGCCTGAAATAATGAAAATGAATGAATGAATGAATGAATGAATTAATTAACTGAAATAATAAATACAAAAATACAGTTTAAATTGATTTTAAATGCAATTAGTTGAAGTTTAGAATGGTTTTGTGACCCAGTTAAGAACATCTTTATATGTAATATAAAGTTAATATGAACTAACAATGATCAATACTTTTAAAGTATTTATTAAGGTAAATTAATGCTAAATTCAAGATTTATAAATACATAATTATAACAGTTGTATTTAATGCCACTGACCTGAAGCATCACCAACACCATACACATGTTGTATTTTAAACATAGATTAATAACTAAAGCATTGCTCATTGTTATTTCATCCATTAACTAACATGAGCTATACATGGATACATACACATTTGAACAATATCGAAGATACTTTAAAGTAAAACGTTTGACTTGTCATTATTACAGGGCACCTTTTAATGTCGTGTTAGAGCACTCATTGATGTGCAGGATTATCTGCAAGTTTAATATAGTTGTTGTGATTGAATGTTGTCTGAATCTGTGTGTTGTGTAGTTCCTGTATCTGCAGGACGTCCTGCAGTGGAGAGCTCAGGCCACTCCAGACCATCCTCTGTTTCTGCTGCTCAACGCCAAGGTATCTCTCGCCCGCTAACGTCTCGCATATGTGTATTACTCGCTGCCACGGCGCCCATGGGTCGATGTGCATATTTGTTATGTCACTTAGATTTGATTTGATGCCGCTGTTCGCGCTGAACTCTTCTCCTCTATTGGTTATTTATATTAAACAGCAGACTTAATATTTATCCGTCTCTGGTCATGATTTGGAGATTATGAATATGAACCGTTGTGTCGCTGCTTATATTGATCACGCAGTAAAAATGCCCGTCGTGTAGCTATATCTACATCATCATCGCATATGCGCAGTGCTTTCAGTTTCACTTCTCAATACCATCAAATGTCCACATGTTCCCTCGATCGGATTAAAACAGGAAGAAACCTCCTCCTTCAATCCGATCGGTTAAGGTGTTTACATCAAGGCTTTTCAGTCCGATTATAAGGGTCCATGTGTGTGTGTGTGTGTTCAGGGCACGGTGGCCAACACAGCGTCGTGTGTGCAGCTGCACAAGCGTGCGGAGCGAGTGGCGGTGGCGCTGATGGAGCGAGGCCGACTGAACACTGGAGATCATGTGGCACTGGTGTATCCTCCCGGTGAGAGAGGACGACACTCACACACTGAGGTCTGATCAAGGCTTTCTTCTCGCTGGTCTTCACTCCTCTGTCCTCTACTCTACAGGTATTGATCTGATCGCCACTTTCTACGGCTGCCTGTACGCCGGCTGCGTCCCCGTGACCGTCAGGCCTCCGCACCCGCAGAACTTAACCACAACCCTGCCCACCGTCAAGATGATCGTGGAGGTGAGGATCGTGGTGTTTCTATGTTTACACACTTTGCTGAGGAAGTTCGTGTAAGACAAATCTGAAATAGCACCTCATCACAGTACACGAGATCCAGGGGGCGGTTTTAGATCCAGATCTAATGGGCGGAGATGGATAGGTTTAGGGGTGGGGTTAGGGATCAGGGGGTAGAGATGGGTAGGATTAGGGGTGGGGTTTGGGATCAGGGGGTGGAGATAGGTAGGATTAGGGGTGGAGTTAGGGATCAGGGGGTGGAGATAGGTAGGATTAGAGGTGGAGTTAGGGATCAGGGGGCGGAGATGGGTAGGATTAGGGGTGGGGTTAGGGATCAGGGGGTGGAGATGGATAGGATTAGGGGTGGAGTTAGGGATCAGGGGGTGGAGATAGGTAGGATTAGAGGTGGAGTTAGGGATCAGGGGGCGGAGATGGGTAGGATTAGGGGTGGGGTTAGGGATCAGGGGGTGGAGATGGGTAGGATTAGGGGTGGGGTTAGGGATCAGGGGTGGAGATGGATAGGTTTATGGGTGGGGTTGGGGATCAGGGGGTGGAGATAGGTAGGATTAGAGGTGGAGTTAGGGATCAGGGGGTGGAGATAGGTAAGATTAGGGGTGGGGTTAGGGATCAGGGGTGAAGATGGGTAGGATAAGGGGTGGAGTTAGGGATCAGGGGTGAAGATGGGTGGGGTTAGGGATCAGGGGGTGGAGAGGGTAGGATTAGGGGTGGGGTTAGGGATCAGGGGTGGAGAGGGTAGGATTATGGGTGGGGTTAGGGATCAGGGGTGGAGATAGGTAGGTTTAAGGGTGGGGTTGGGATCAGGGGGTGGAGATAGGTAGGATTAGGGGTGGAGTTAGGGATCAGGGGGCGGAGATGGGTAGGATTAGGGGTGGGGTTAGGGATCAGGAGGTGGAGATGGGTAGGATTAGGGGTGGGGTTGGGGATCAGGGGGTGGAGATAGGTAGGATTAGGGGTGGAGTTAGGGATTAGGGGTGGAGATGGATAGGTTTAGGGGTGGGGTTAGGGATCAGGAGGTGGAGATGGGTAGGATTAGGGGTGGGGTTAGGGATCAGGGGGTGGAGATAGGTAGGATTAGGGGTGGGGTTAGGGATCAGGGGGTAAGATGGGTGGGATTAGGGGTGGGGTAAGGGATCAGGGGTGGAGATGGATAGGGTTGGGGTTTAGGGGATCAGGAGGTGGAGATGGATAGGTTTATGGGTGGGGTTAGGGATCAGGGGGTGGAGATGGGTAGGATTAGGGGTGGGGTTAGGGATCGGGGTGGAGATGGTGGGATTAGGGGTGGGTTAGGAATCAGGGGGTGGAGATGGTAGGGTTGGGGTTAGGGATCAGGTCAGGTGGAGATGGATAGGTTTATAGGGTGGGGTTAGGGATCAGGGGGTGGAGATGGGTAGGATTAGGGGTGGAGTTAGGATCGGGGGTGGAGATGGGTGGGATTAGGGGTGGGGTTAGGGATCAGGGGGTGGAGATAGGTAGGATTAGGGGTGGGTTAGTGATCGGGGGTGGAGATGGGTGGGATTAGGGGTGGGGTTAGGGATCAGGGGTGGAGATGGATAGGGTTGGGGTTAGGGATCAGGAGGTGGAGATGGATAGGTTTAGGGGTGGGGTTAGGGATCAGGGGGTGGAGATAGGTAGGATTAGGGGTGGGAGTTAGTGATCAGGGGTGGAGATGGGTGGGATTAGGGGTGGGGTTAGGAATCAGGGGGTGGAGATGGATAGGGTTGGGGTTAGGGATCAGGAGGTGGAGATGGATAGGTTTATGGGTGGGGTTAGGGATCAGGGGGTGGAGATGGGTAGGATTAGGGGTGTGGTTAGGGATCAGGTGTGGAGATAGGTAGGATTAGAGGTGGAGTTAGGGATCAGGGGGGCGGAGATGGGAGGATTAGGGGTGGGGTTAGGGATCAGGGGGTGGAGATGGATAGGTTTAGGGGTGGAGTTAGGGATCAGGGGCGGGGGGATGGGTACAATTAGGGGTGGGGTTAGGGATCAGGGGGGGGGATGGGTACGATTAGGGGTGGGGTTAGGGATCAGGGGGCGGGGATGGGTACGATTAGGGGTGGAGTTAGGGATCAGGGGGCAGAGATGGGTAGGATAAGGGGTGGTGTTAGGGAACAGGGGGCGGAGATGGGTAGGTTTAGGTATATGTAAGGTGGTTACAGAATTTCGTGCTCTGCAGTGAGGACCATCTTCAAATCTGCGCGGATTCAGTGCATATACGCAACTCGTGAGTCCTCATGATATATTAATCATGCAGATTAGAGCGCAGAATCTGCTCATTTCTGGTTTACTCGAACACACACGTCACTACGCAACAAATAACGGCGCGCTTGTTCACTTGCATTGAAGTAATAGCGAATATTAAAAAGCATTTGGTGAACAGAAAAGAAATTGTTATTTACCAGCATCCTACATGTTCTGTGTGCTGTACTGATCTGTCCACCTTAAACACATTTTGGTAAAAATCAAACAAATAGTTGTTAAAATCGATTCCCTTTTTCGTTTTCGATACTTGTTGGTTCGACACTGGTTGGTCCGATCGATTGTGCAATCAATTTTTGAACGTAAAGTGACAGCCCTAATACATTTATTAAATTAAATTTAACATATCAACTGGTTCTGCAAACAAATAATGCCATTTGCTTTTCAATAATCAAATGGATTTTCAATAATTCATTTTTGCAATTTATTTAATGCCGTTCTGGGACCACTGTTGATAAGATTTCAGTAAGGTCTTACTCAACATAACTAAACATGTCTGAAATCTTAATAAGACTGATGAGCATTACTTTGTCCTGTAGCTGCTCTATCCTCTGTATATCAGCAGTGTCTGATCGTTGATCACTCTCTTGTGACTGTAACTGTACTCTTATGATTGACAGGTCAGTAAGTCTGTATGTATTCTGACAACACAAGCAATAATGAAACTACTGAAATCCAAAGAGGCCGCGGCTGCTGTGGACGTGAAAGCGTGGCCGTTGATACTGGACACGGGTAAAGACATCACTTACACCATTGTACTATTGTATAATTCCCATTGTATGTAAAATTAATGTTAAAGATCCCCTATTGTGCCTCTTTACAAAGTATTAGTTCCTGTCTCTATGAAGCCCCTCCTTCTGAAAAGCACGCTGTGCTCTGATTGGTCAGCTGGAGTGGTGTGTTGTGATTGGTCGAGCACTTTGAGTGTGTTTGGGAAATGTCCCGACCCTTACCATATACCATCAGGCCCCGCCCCTTTATGTTGTGAATGAATTATTATAATGAGGAATATTCGTTCCCGGAAGGAAATCAAGACTACAATGGAGGTGTTTCATGAGTTCAGAAACACTGACACTGATATAGAGAAAAACTGGAGCTTTTTCACGCTCAACCAGCAACATCACACACTAAAGAAAGTGAAAAAAAAGCATGATACGTCTTGTTTAAATAAGGTTTATTGGTTCCATTTCAGATGATCTCCCAAGAAAGAGGATTCCCCAGATCTACAAACCCCCCACCCCAGAGATGCTCGCCTACCTGGACTTCAGTGTGTCCACCACAGGAATCCTGGCTGGGGTCAAGGTGATTCTGACTAACCCATCATCATCATCATCATCATCATCTGAGAATGTGGGATGGCACTTCTAACAGCATGTGTTTGTCTCAGATGTCCCATGCTGCCACCAGTGCCTTGTGTCGCTCTATCAAGCTGCAGTGTGAGCTGTACCCGTCCCGCCAGATCGCCATCTGCCTGGACCCCTACTGTGGCCTGGGCTTTGCCCTCTGGTGTCTCTGCAGGTGAGAGACCATCATCACGCCTGCTTCGGCTGGCAGACCAGTACAATCATGTTAAAGGGATAGGTCACCCAAAAATGAAAATTAGGATTTACTCACTCTCAAGTCATGCTTGGTGTATATGACAGAGTTATATTAAAAAAATGTGCGGGCTTTTCCAAGCTTAGTAATTGCAGAAAATGAATAATTTCTGTTTTGAAGTACACATAAAAGTGCATCTGACCATGATAAAAGTGCATCAATCCATGATAAAAGTGCATCTGTCCATCATAAAAGTGCATCTGTCCATTATAAAAGTGCATCAATCCATCATAAAAGTGCATCTATCCATCATAAAAGTGCATCTGTCCATCATAAAAGTGCATCAATCCATCATAAAAGTCCATCCATCCATCATAAAAGTGCATCTGTCCATCATAAAAGTCCATCTATCCATCATAAGTCCATCTATCCATCATAAAAGTCCATCTATCCATCATAAAAGTCCATCTATCCATCATAAAAGTGCATCTATCCATCATAAAAGTGCATCTATCCATCATAAAAGTGCATCTGTCCATCATAAAAGTGCATCTGTCCATCATAAAAGTGCATCTATCCATCATAAAAGTGCATCAATCCATCATAAAAGTCCATCTATCCATCATAAAAGTGCATCCGTCCATCATAAAAGTGCATCTGTCCATCATAAAAGTGCATCAATCCATCATAAAAGTCCATCTATCATCATAAAAGTGCATCTATCCATCATAAAAGTCCATCTGTCCATCATAAAAGTGCATCAATCCATCATAAAGTCCATCTATCCATCATAAAAGTGCATCTATCCATCATAAAAGTCCATCTGTCCATCATAAAAGTGCATCAATCCATCATAAAAGTCCATCTATCCATCATAAAAGTGCATCTGACCATCATAAAAGTGCATCTGTCCATCATAAAAGTCCATCTATCCATCATAAAAGTAAATCTATCATAAAAATAATCTGCACTGGTCTGGGGGGTTAATAAAGGCCTTCTGAAGCGACATGATGCGTTTGTGTATGTCACTTTTATGATGGATAGATGCCCTTTTATGATGGATAGATGCACTTTTATGATGGATAGATGAACTTTTATGATGGATAGATGAACTTTTATGATGGATAGATGCACTTTTATGATGGATAGATGGACTTTTATGATGGACAGATGCACTTTTATGATGGATAGATGTACTTTTATGATGGATAGATGTACTTTTATGATGGATAGATGCACTTTTATGATGGATAGATGAACTTTTATGATGGATAGATGCACTTTTATGATGATAGATGGACTTTTATGATGGATTGATGCACTTTTATGATGGATAGATGAACTTTTATGATGGATAGATGCACTTTTATGATGATAGATGGACTTTTATGATGGATTGATGCACTTTTATGATGGATAGATGCACTTTTATGATGGATAGATGTACTTTTATGATGGACAGATGCACTTTTATGATGGACAGATGCACTTTTATGATGGACAGATGCACTTTTATGATGGACAGATGAACTTTTATGATGGATAGATGCAATTTTATGATGGATAGATGAACTTTTATGATGGATAGATGCACTTTTATGATGGATAGATGAACTTTTATGATGGATAGATGTACTTTTATGATGGATAGATGAACTTTTATGATGGATAGATGCACTTTTATGATGGATAGATGAACTTTTATGATGGATAGATGCACTTTTATGATGATAGATGGACTTTTATGATGGATTGATGCACTTTTATGATGGATAGATGCACTTTTATGATGGATAGATGTACTTTTATGATGGATAGATGTACTTTTATGATGGACAGATGCACTTTTATGATGGACAGATGCACTTTTATGATGGACAGATGCACTTTTATGATGGACAGATGAACTTTTATGATGGATAGATGCAATTTTATGATGGATAGATGAACTTTTATGATGGATAGATGCACTTTTATGATGGATAGATGAACTTTTATGATGGATAGATGTACTTTTATGATGGATAGATGAACTTTTATGATGGACAGATGAACTTTTATGATGGACAGATGAAATTTTATGATGGATAGATGTACTTTTATGATGGACAGATGAACTTTTATGATGGACAGATGAACTTTTATGATGGACAGATGAACTTTTATGATGGACAGATGAACTTTTATGATGGATAGATGCACTTTTATGATGGACAGATGAACTTTTATGATGGACAGATGAACTTTTATGATGGACAGATGAACTTTTATGATGGACAGATGAAATTTTATGATGGATAGATGTACTTTTATGATGGATAGATGCACTTTTATGATGGACAGATGAACTTTTATGATGGACAGATGAACTTTTATGATGGACAGATGAACTTTTATGATGGACAGATGAACTTTTATGATGGATAGATGTACTTTTATGATGGATAGATGAACTTTTATGATGGACAGATGAACTTTTATGATGGACAGATGAACTTTTATGATGGATAGATGCACTTTTATGATGGTCAGATGCACTTTTATGATGGTCAGATGCACTTTTATGATGGATAGATGAACTTTTATGATGGACAGATGAACTTTTATGATGGACAGATGAACTTTTATGATGGACAGATTAACTTTTATGATGGACAGATGCACTTTTATGATGGACAGATTAACTTTTATGATGGATAGATGCACTTTTATGATGGACAGATGAACTTTTATGATGGATAGATGAACTTTTATGATGGATAGATGCACTTTTATGATGGACAGATAAACTTTTATGATGGATAGATGCACTTTTATGATGGACAGATAAACTTTTATGATGGATAGATGCACTTTTATGATGGACAGATAAACTTTTATGATGGATAGATGAACTTTTATGATGGACAGATGAACTTTTATGATGGATAGATGCACTTTTATGATGGATAGATGAACTTTTATGATGGATAGATGTACTTTTATGATGGATAGATGCACTTTTATGATGGACAGATGAACTTTTATGATGGACAGATGCACTTTTATGATGGATAGATGCACTTTTATGATGGTCAGATGCACTTTTATGATGGATAGATGAACTTTTATGATGGATAGATGAACTTTTATGATGGATAGATGCACATTATGAACTTATGGACATAAACAGCCATTCACTGCCATTATAAATACACCTAGGAGGACTCGAGAGTGAGTAAATCATGGGCTAATTTAGATTTTTGGCTGAATTGTCCCTTTAATGTCATGTAAATGTTTGTGTTGGCAGTGTGTACTCAGGCCATCAGTCTATCCTGGTCCCTCCTCTGGAGCTGGAGACCAATGCGTCTCTGTGGCTCTCTGCAGTCAGCCAGTATAAAGCTCGAGTGACCTTCTGTTCGTATTCGGTGATGGAGATGTGCACCAAAGGCCTGGGCTCCCAGACTGAAGCTCTGCGGGTCAGTCTCACACACACACACACACACACTCTTCATCCGCGTCACATTTACTGCTGTTCCGACGAGATTCGTGGATGAACCTGGTCCCTGTGCGGAGTTCACTCATGCTCAAGCTGGTCATGCCGGTTCAACGTGCCGACTGATTGGTTTAAAAGTGTCTACATTATCGATCGCTTCACAACAGACAATCAACTTTTTTTGCATGCAAAATATCACACATGTAGTGTGAGCGCACCTTCAGTGACACATAATCGCATTTTATTATGACATTTCATTGTTATTTTGAAAGAAATCAATGCTTTTTTTCAGCAAGGACGCATTAAATTGATCAAAAGTGACAGTAAAGACATTTATAATGCTACAAATGATTATTTCCCAAAGTTCTTTTGAACTTTCTATTCATCAAAGAATCTTGAAAAAATAAAATGTATGAAATTTCCTCAAAAATATGGATCAGCACGACTGTCTTCAACACTGATAATAATCATAAGTGTTTCTTGATCATCAGATCCTCATATTAGAGTGATTTCTGAAGGGTTACGTGACACTGAAGACTGGAGTAATGATGCTGAACATCACAGGAATACATTACACTTTACTGTATATTCACACAGAGAACAGATGATTTGATATTTCACTGTTTTTACTGTATTTTTGATCAACTAAATGCAATCTTGATTAGACTTCTTTCAAAAACATTAAACAAGGGTGTATTTCAGTGCCATAAGCGTTTAATAAAGTGAAGAAATATGAATTTTTATTATTTTTAATGAAAGTATTAATATAATAGTTTTTTATAATATTTTCAATCTCTGTGTATCAACATATGATCAGACCTCCCATTACAGTTGTGTGTGAGTGGCATTGGTTAAAGGGCATAAATCATGTGTGTGTGTGATGTGCTCCATCAGTTGCGGGGCGTGAATCTGTCGTGTGTGCGGACCTGTATGGTGGTGGCGGAGGAGCGTCCTCGCATCGCTCTAACGCAGTCCTTCTCCAAGATCTTCAAGGACCTGGGTCTCTCGAGCCGGGCCGTCAGCACCACCTTCGGCTGCAGGGTGAACGTGGCCGTGTGTCTTCAGGTGAGGGCCGCTCACTGCTTCATGTGCGCACGAACCCTGTGTTTATATGTGTGTGTGTTTAAAAGACCTGTTCACACCGAGTGCATTCCTATAAATCTCTTCTCGCCAAAAGGAGTGATTATTACTGAAGGCTTTTCGTGTCTTGTGTCCATTATACTCTGGTGAGAAGCTATGCGTGGATCACGACACATACATTTGCGCTTTTGTTTTCGAAATGCTAAATTTCTACAAAGTTATGCTTGGTGTGTATAGAGGGTATGCGCGTGACGTCACCGTCGGCCTGCAGTTCCTCACGGTGAGTGGCAAAAACACTGAGAGGCTGTATATGTGTTCAGTGTGAATGCCGCGAAAAACAAACACAACACATATAAAGTGGGAAAGAGCTTTTGCGATTGACTGTACAACTAGATTCGACAAAACATCGGAGGTATGTTTTTACAGACTGATATAGAAAGGATCGAAACAACTGGACTCCAGTCAGCGAAATGGGGGATTTGCAGTTATCATTGTGTGTCAATATGCTGAATCTAGAAAACCATACCCATATATTTTGTATTGTTATATACTGTATATTAACAACTCATCAGTTAAATATTTATCATTGAATATTCTGCATTATTGGATGTTTTTTAATAAACACTGACCAAAAAAAAACCTATAAAGTTTTAGGGCTGGACGATATGAAGATATATATGCTATAACACTGATATAAGTGATCACCCAGATTTATACCTACCTATATTGTATTTATATAAAGCGTTCACAGGCAAATTTGCTTATGTTTAGGTCTATATTGCTTTTATTTCCCCGGTGTGGAAATCAGGCAAATATAAATGTCAGGCAACACGATTCCTGGCTGCATGTCAATATCCATGATCACTGGATCTTTAGTGAGTCGTAAGGAACACTATATTGAGTCCAACATTTAGTTTAAATTGATCAAATTGTTCGTTTTAGCCGCATTTCAGTTTCCCCTCTTAAATCCAGTCACGCAGCAGATCTTTTGCCACTCAGTCAGGCTGAAAAGTCAGGGAAAGTGACGTCAATGCATTCCCTCTATAGTTTTGGCGTAAAAAAAAAGGTTTGTGAAGCTGTTTTGTGTGGCATCACTGTTGGTGTGTATACACGGGTTTCCTGTATACAAACAATCCCGGATGCGCGTGCATCCTGGGGGCAAAAAACGCTAGAGTTCTGTAAATGAACATAGTAATTAACGTAGATTTCGCATTGTTTGTCATTTCTTTTTGACTCAGTAATAAACTGCAATTTCAGAGTTGGATCTGTTTGTTTTTGTTTCATATTAATGTAACACGTCCAACTGTTTACGAATCAAAATCCGGCGCGTTTACATTACAGATTTGCGCAAAACTTTTGCGATATTTATCATTATCTATTGCGAAATGACGGTGTTTCCATTAACCGATGTTATGCGACTAAAATGTCTTTTTTTCCCTCGCGCGATAAGTCATTCCAAAAATCATGGCAACGGACTTTGGTAGGTTTATAACTTATTTCACAGCCATGCACCGCACTAGACATTATTATTATTAATGGAAGGAGACATGATGTGTTATCCAAGCATTAATAGCAGGGAAAGACACAGAGTTCCTGGGTGTTTCTCCCTTATTTCTGCTTTGATGTCTTAAAGGCATTTCTTTGAGGTTTAGAGAGGCCATTCCTGTAATTATTGTTTTTTTTTTTTTTTATGAATTTAATAAAGAACTCTATCTCGTATTATGTCCAAACGGTCGTTGCAAAATGAAAAATGAGCGGTTGTTGTATTTTTAAAATGCAAAGTTGAACACCGTCATTTTAGTTTGACCACACCAATGCTGTGCTTGTGGTATATACATCTCAACGAATTTTCAGATATTTGTTTATGACTTTTTGTCCCCTTTAAAACATTTAAAATATTCACAAATTAATATGGGAAAAAATGTAGATTTTACTGGTTTTCTAAGGCCAAATTAGAACCTGGATAGTTATGATATTTTTCCCTCAGTGCTTTAGGCTAGGTGAGTTATTATAAATGCGTCTGAAAAAATAACGAGCTAAAAACATAATCTCCGGATGCACCTTTAGAGAGAACGGCACCTTTCATACGGATTACATAATCAGAAGGTATTAGTTTACGATTCGAATTTGTACTTTTTAAAGTGGACATTTAAAGCTTTAGTCTATAAAGGCTATTGTTTCAGTTCACGAAGATCATAAAGCGCGCCTGATTGTTTTTTATGTTATTTTACAAAAGCATTTTCTTGTTATTGTGACATTACGCAAATAAAAGTAGTTGCGAATAATGTATTATTATTTTCTGTATAACCAGAAATGATAGAGTATTTTAAGTTGATTTCACTGTTGATGGGAAAATGAAAGTGTTCACGGCGCGCCCGCGTCTGTCTGCCATCCAGTGCTCCAAACTCGCACACACTCTTGGATATTGGACAAAATCGAGTGTTTATTTGTGATAATCTTAGCCCTATTATTGTCCAACCTGTACTATGAATGAGATGTGACGAATTGCTTTGTTCCTTTTTTGGATAAAAGCGTCTTCTACATACAGTATGTAGCCTAATAAATGTTATAATAGGCTAATGATGATAATTATTGTTAATATTTGCGGACACGGACCTAAAACACACTCCGTCTTCTAAGTCAGGTGACTGTAAATGCGCAAAACCCGTTTCCATTGCAGTTTTGCGAAAAAATCCTTTTTCGAATTGCCTGAAAAACCTCCTCATGCGAGCGTAAAAACTTTTTTTGCGATAAACGGGAGTTTTTGCGAAATTGACGTGTTTCCATTGAGCGTATTTTCATTTCGCAATTTCAATTTGCGCAAATTGAAGGGTTATGAAAACGCAGCTGTGATGCATGTATGAATTATCACGTTAGACTAGTTAGTAATGTAATAGCCTCTATAGAGCCCGAATTTGCTTTTATATAAGTTAACCTTGTTAGTTTACGACCTGCAACATATAACGATACTTTACAGTAAATCAAAGATTTGATGATGGATTATGCGAGAAGCCTTAGTAGCCTACCTCCGACCGTGGCGATTACATTAAAAAACGTACTCTCAGCAACGGTGAGATCTTGCCGGATCCCTACGCAATATCTGACGATCTTTGGATTGTGGATGACAAGAAGTGGCCAGCAATTATGGCCTGATATATCTCATTCAGACACCAAGTGTGTATAAAAGAGAAATGATTAACAGTTAAAACGTACAAATCCCTTGATGTATACAACTACGTGCTGTGGTCATGTGCAGCTCGTCAAATACTGATGCTGCACCGGATTTTTGCGTGTTGAGGTCATAACGTGCCAAGGCATTAGGGTTAGTTCACCCAAAAATGAAAATTCTGTCAGTATTTACTCACCCTCATGTTGTTCCAACCCCGTAAGACCTTCATTCATCTTCGCAACACAAATTAAGATATTTAAGATATTAAGATCGCTCCTGCATACTAGTCCATAGGCTTCTTGAGGGACTGGCTCTTGCTGTCCCCGAAAAGTCATTAAAGACATCGTTAAAATAGTCCAAGTGACTACAGGGGCTCAAGTTTATCAAACGACGAGAACACTTTTGTGCGCAAAAAAACAACAAAAATACCGACTTTATTTCAACTATTGGTTTATTTCTCCGTCTGCCTCGAGTCAGGTTACTAGTTTAATAGCGTAAGCTTCTGTTATTGTACGTCACACGCATCACACACACATGACCAGCGTCGGCCAATAGTGAGCCTACATGTGACGTAGCTCTACGCAATCACACTACGTTAACTGACTACAGGCTCATGGAGAAGGAAGTGAATAGTTGGAATAAAGTCGTTATTTTTGTTTGTTTTTGCGCACAAAAGTGTTCTCGTCGTTTGATAAAGTTAAGATTGAGCCCCTGTAGTCACTTGGACTATTTTAACGATGTCTTTAATGACTTTTCGATGCCAGCAAGTGTCATTCCCTCAAGAAGCCTATGGACTAGTATGCAGGAGCGATCTTAATATCTTAAATATCTTAATTTGTGTTGCGAAGATGAACGAAGGTCTTACGGGGTTGGAGTAAATACTGACAGAATTTTCATTTTTGGGTGAACTAACCCTTTAAAGCCAATCATTATGATGCCTGGGTGTATGTCCATGAGGGCATTTTCACTAGCGACAACACCACCACCGCTACTAGCCAAAAACCCTATACTCCGGTACGAAGACCGCGGGTCTTTTGCCCCCTGGTTGCGTGCGCAAGCAGTGATGACGTAGCCGAGAAATCCATGTATAGGCTTTATCTGTTTTTAAATGCTGTGTCTGTAAGTGTACAGTACATGTATCTGTGTGTATTAAACGTGCGCCTGTGTTTGTCTGATGCGCTCTCGTAGCCCAACAGGCTGGGCAAGCTGGCAGAGCAGGTACTGTGACCCGAGGGAGCCCACGGGCGCTAGCAGGGGCTTCAGGACGCTTCGCCAGCTCTGCTTCTGTGTGTGTGTGTGTGTGTGTGTGTGTGTGTATAAATCCTCATGTGCATGACATAATGCTTTGCTTCCAATGTCAGAGTAAAGGGGGTCGCACCACCACGCCTTTAAAATTTGAACACATTACTCTCTATGAGTAATGGACCGTTCTCAAGGCTCAGGACTGTGTTCAAAATCCTGCTGTGCCATTTACATAGTTTTATATAAAATTTAAAGTCTTTTTGTCTCAAATCGTTGCTGATGGATCCTGACTCCGCCCTATGCTGCAATATACATGTAGTTTTGCATTAATTTACAGATATCAGCTGCTTGAATGACAATTACTGATGTTATTGGATTTTTCAGGTGAGATTTTCAATTCATTCAGTTAACTGATGCTCTGAGGTAACGTTTCAGACTGCAGACTCAGCAATGGTTGTATTTAATAACATAGAACAGACATTATCTTCATTTCATGTCATTAAACATAATAATATTGCTGGTCAAACACTGATGAGAAAGTGTGCGATACCTGGAGTTGTCCTAGACGCGGCGCTGCGCTTCTCGTCCGGTGTGCGACCCCCTTAATACTTTGGGATTACTTTTATTATATACATTATTTGTGCCAGCACTGTTGCCATGTTTTATTTCAGAAAATCAAGTAATTTAAAAATAAAAATGTATTTTATTTTTATGTAACAAAATAAGTTTGTTTTTTTTATGAAATATGACTTTAATGTGACTATAAGTATTAATAATATCAATAGGTATCATTCTGGTCATTATATATATACACACACCTCTTAACTCTTGAGTTCGGGTGTTTTAATCAGACCCATTGGCACAAGTGTGTAAATCCAGCACGTCTCAGGGACAGATGTATTGATCCGCCTGCGCTGCCTCTTCACAGCTGTGTGTTCGGCCCTGCGCTTCATGTATATGTGCTGTAGTGTGCCAAAGCAATGCTTGAGCCGTGCATCTGGAGCAGATTGATGTAACGCCTCATCTCAAAGTATTGTTGGCCAGCCTATGAGAACGAGGTTTTACATGAACTAAGGGAATGTTTGTAGAGTATCTAATGGACCTGAGAGGAATATATATACATATTTAAAGTGATAGTTCACCCAAAAGTGAACTTCTGTCATAATTTATTCTCATGTCCTCATGTGGTTCCAAACCTGTGGGACATAATAAAAGATGTTTTGAAGAATGTTGGTAACCAAACTGTTTCAGATGCCATCGACCTCTATATTTCTGTCCTTATAATGGAGGTCAATGCGAACCGAACCAGAGAATGTCTAATTGAAGAAAATTGGCACTGGCTGGTTACTTCCGGGTTCTGGACTGGCTGCAGTAACACATCTCTGTCCATGCAGGGGAGCTCTCGGTCGAGTGCAGAATGAATGGGAGTCAATGGGGTTTCACCCCCAGAAATCCACTTTTCTCAAGATGTAATTTTTTGTCTACTAATTTGAAAGTTGGGCGGGCTAAGATAATACACTCAGCTGAAAATTGCATTTTTAAGTTCACTTATCTGTTCTAAAAATCCGTTAAAAAATGTGATGACGTCACACAATAGCAGAATGCTAGCGTGTCCCGGCCAACAACGGCCTAACCTGTAAGAAATCGAAAGGACATAAGTACTCGTTCATTCGACTTTTGGCCTATAATCTATATTGAACTTGCGGAATCAACAATAAAATCTATTTTGATTTAACGACAAGCAGGTGTAAGAGACACATTTAGCCGTTTAGCCCCATAGACTCCCATTCATTCTGCTCTCGCCCGTGATCACCTCCAGTGGAATTCTAATGGAACTGCAACCAGGATGATACACAACGGGGCTAATAGGAAGTGCCAAGGCTCTCCGTTAGACGGAGCCCAACATGCCCACAGACCCAAAGGTCAAAGGTTAGGAATGACATGATGGCAAATAAAGGCCTTTAAGCATTCCCATCTAATCAGAAACTCACACTGGTTAAGCCGTGTGTCTGTGTGGACCGGGTCAAACAAACAGAGCTTGTCTTGATAGTGCCACATATTAGGAAGAGCAGATCAGAAATTCACACACTTCACTATATGACACGCTCGCAGTGACGGTGCTGATGTGTGTTTCTAGGGCACCTCTGGGCCGGACCCCACCACCGTATATCTGGACATGAGGGCCCTGCGGCATGACAGGTGCTACAACACACACTTCTGCTTAATGCTTATATAGACCTTATGTAATCAGGTGTCTTTAACTACTATGCTATTTAATAAAGTAATAGTTAGGTTCAGTGTACGTCTTGTGTTGATGTTGTAAAACACTAGAGCTGATGTTGAGGTGATACGGGTTTGGTGGGATGGGTCAGTTTACGGGTGGGTTAAGAGTTAAGGGAAGGTCATCAGTCTCATTATACATGTAATTACATAAGTCTGTCATTATTATTGATCTCTGTCTCTTTTTTTTACATTGCTCAGAGTTCGATTAGTCGAGAGAGGCTCTCCACACAGTCTGCCGCTGATGGAATCTGGGAAGGTGAGAATACAGAATATACTGTGTGTATATAGTATGTTATCAATAAATATATAAACTAGCAGTTTGAATTTAATACTATTTTTGGTAACACTTTACAATACGGGTGCAATAATATGCATTAATTCATGCTTAACTAATGCACAGATAATCGTGAGTTAATGTATAACTAATGAAGAACTAAACCATTAATTAATGATTACTGCATCAGCAACTAATAAAGAGTCTATGATTAATAGATTAAGTAATACACGAATTGCTATTAATTCAGTGTATCATTGTGTATTCATTCCTTAATAACATATTTGATTAACTAATAGTGTAAATTGATGTGTTAATTACCACAATTAGTCAAAGCTATGCACTTCAACTTCCAGTTGTCTGCTTTGATTAATCATTAGCTAATGATTTGCAAAGGTATCATTATACTATGACTTTACTGGTTGGGGCACATCATTATTAACTAGTCATTTAGTAATTGTAGTCATTTTCACATGAATTTGCACTAACAATGAAGTAATTAATCATGTATTAATGCATATTAGTTTACCTGTCATATTATTTGGAAGTTGAAATACAAGGCTTTGGCTCATTCTGGTAATTAACATATTAATTAACGCTATTAGTTAAAAAAAAGAGTTATTATGGAATTAATCCACAATTACATATTTAATTAATAACAATTAATGTATGAACTAATACATTAACCTTACAGACTCTTAATTAGTTCCTAATGTGGTAATCATTAATGAATAGCTTAGATAATCATTAGATTATCTGTGCATTAGTTAAGCATTATTAGTGCACCCGTATTGTAAAGTGTTACCCTATTTTTTAATGTTTTTAAATAAAGTATTTTATTCTCACCAAACCTGCATTGATTTGATAGAACATGTAGTAAAAACAGTAATATTAATTTATGTTTTCTATTTGAATATATTGTTAAATATTAAATGTAATATAAACTGTCATTTATTCCTGTGATCGAAGCTGAATTTGTCACATGATCCTGCACAAATCATTTAATATGCTGATTTGCTGCTCACGAAACATTTCTGGTCATTATCAATGTCGAAAATAGTTGTGCTGCTTCATATTTATAAAAAAAAAAAAAAGATTTTATTTTTATATTTTTGGCACTTTATTTCGACAGTCCACTTAAGACATTACTAACTATGAGTATCCTTGTGACTACATGTCAAAAAACTCTCATTAGCTTTTTGTAACGCACTGGTGCTCCTTGGACACATCATCAGTGGTCAGGGGGTGTTTCAGGTCTTAGATCATCAGATTCCCTCACTCGGGACACTCAGCCGCGGGTCATCAGTCCCGGCTTGTGTCCAAAGGTGGACAATTGAATTAAAGTGTTATAGATTTTATTTTTTTTTCACAGATTCTGCCTGGGGTGAAGGTTATAATCGCCAACACAGAGACCAAAGGACCTCTAGGAGATTCTCATCTGGGTGAAGTGAGTTACAAAAAGCAGAGAACCACAGAGAATGTTAAAATGTCTCTGTATTATGTATTGTCATGTGTAGTGAGTTGATGCGACTGTATTAAAAAAATAGATCTGGGTGAGCAGCCCCCATAATGCCACAGGATACTACACGGTTTATGGCGAAGAGGCGTTGCACGCGGACCACTTCAGCACCAGACTGAGCTTCGGTGACACGCAGACGGTCTGGGCTCGCACCGGATACCTCGGCTTCCTGCGGCGTACAGAACTCACAGATGCCAGTGGAGGTACTGTATACATGAGATGAAAACCAAACACACTTGTGTGAGGTGACTTCTATTTAAAATTATTCTCAATAAAAAGCTGATTCGATGTACACCCTGACACATTTAATCGCTACCTTTTCTATTAAGTTTTAATTCATTTTTTCTTTGCACTCATATGACAGCAAGAACAATCAGTTGTGCGGTCCTATAAATAAATGATGTTTTGCATATTGTTCCAGAGAGACATGATGCCTTGTATGTGGTGGGATCTCTGGATGAGACTCTCGAGCTGCGGGGAATGCGTTACCACCCCATTGATATTGAGACGTCTGTAATAAGATCACACAAGAGCATTGCAGAGTGGTAAGCAATATTTTTAAAATGTTTTCCTTGTACCTCATAGAATTGGGTTTTAATGGATAAACCTTTTATGTAACATTAATAATATTACATACTTTAGCCTCAATGTAATGTTCTCAGACACTTGACGTTCAATTCAATTGAATGTTAATTGCAATTATATGAAAAGGTTTTAAAAGCAATTAGCTTAGCATTGACCCACTTAAACAGGACTCAAGTACATCTTTATATTAGGGATGTACCGATATGAACATTTTGGCTGATACCGATAACCGATAATCCTTTATATTTGAAAACCGATAACCGATATATCGGCCGATAAATTTAAATGCAAATTTTCATATCATTTTGAGAGCCTGATTACAAAAACAAAAGTCTCACAATTAAATCCATGTCTCAAGTGCACGATTATAATGATGTTCTCATTATAGTTTTATGTAGCCGATATGACAGATTTGTGCTGCACATGTTGAAATAAACAGTATTTTCATTTTTTGAAGAGATTTCCATCATATTTCAAGAAATTCAAAAACATAAACAGGGCTCAACAAGTGTCTCAGCTGAAGGGAATAATAGATTATTTATCGGCTTTAATATAACGGCCACATTTTGATAACGTTAAAAATGAACATATATCGGCCGATACCGATATTCTGGCCGATATATCGTGCATGCCTACTTTTTATGATATAATATATAAATAATTTCATGATTACTTCTGTTGTCTTTGAAATACTTTCTGTGATAATCGACCTCATGCCACAAATGCTGTTGATCAAGGTTCATTTAACTGGAAGCGTTCTTTTAAGACTTCCTGAAGACTGAATCGTCAGCATGATTATCTTTTTTTATGAAATTTCAGTGTTTTGTTCCATTGCTAGAGTGAATTCAGGTTCACTTTCAATGGCAAAAAACATCCCAATCATCCTGAATTCACTCGTAGAATTTATTATTATTATTTTTTACCATGTATGTAATCTGCTTTTTACTCTCTCCTCAGTGCTGTGTTCACATGGACTAATCTACTGGTGGTGGTAGTGGAGCTTGAGGGGTCAGAACAGGAAGCCCTGGACCTTGTTGCGCTGGTGACCAATGTGGTTCTGGAAGAGCACTATCTCATAGTAGGGGTTGTTGTGGTAGTGGACCCTGGAGTCATTCCTATCAACTCCAGAGGGGAGAAGCAGCGAATGCACTTGCGGGACGGCTTTCTCGCCGACCAGCTGGATCCCATATACGTGGCCTACAACATGTGAGAATGTGTAATGTGGAGGAGGAACCAGATGCCAGAAAACTCTGCATATGCAAATTTACAAAGGAAGCATTAGAGGACAGTCTTGCCTCTTCCTCCACACACATGAAGAGTCCTTGATGGAGCTATGCAGTTTATTTTTTATATCAAACTGTCATTCCTTGAAAATAAAACTCTGATTCAGTGGTCAGGGCAAATGACTCGATTTCATCTCCTGTTGTCTTGAGCGACACAATTGAGTTCTCATTCAAGCACACTCGTTCTGCACATACGACACATGAGTGTTGACTGTTCCCTGTGTGTGTTTGAGGAGGACCAGAGGAGTGCCTGATGTCAAAAGCAGGATCCAGATTCTAGGACCATTGAATTTTTCAAGGGCATGTGAAAATGTGTAATGCATTTCATTTCACAGCATTCCTGTTCTAACTGTAAAAAATGCACAAAACCAAGTTTTGTTTGGTTTGTTCATTTCACATCAACACTCAAATCTTTGATAAATGTTTCATCCGGAGACCGAATGGCAATAAGGAAATGGATATCAGAAAGCAGTACTGAAGGTGTGCTGTGGATATACTGCTTCACGAATTCACAAGCTTATGCATTCCCAGCTAGTGTTTCAACATGAGCCTTAAATATTTTCATACGCCTGTGGATTGTTTGTTATTTGAATTTCCCCATTAATTAAACTCATTAATGTGTGAGCTTTAGACTGCAGGATAGGAATCAGGGTAATAAGTGTATAGATGAAGAGTCTTATTCAGGTAACCAAGTCCCAATCTGAAAAAATATTTCTACTCAAATTTACATTTACAGCAGTTGTCATTTATTAAATTTTTTTTTTGCACTGTATGACCATTTACTAGTAGTGTATCTTATATTTCTGCAGAAGGTGACATTTTCTGTCTCATACACATTACTGATTGAAAAGAAAGTATCCTTTTCCCTTAATTCATTAAAACATACCTAACAGATGGGACCGGTATTTCAGGAAAACTGACCACTGCAGATGAGGGCTTTGATTCTTCTTTTCATTACTGTGTTAAAGAGTGATTATTGCTTGTATTTTCAGACGCACTGTACACCGCGTTGGCCAGCACTGTATAGACCACAATCTAACAATGCTTGCTTTCTTTTATTGCGCTCACTACGTAAAGGAGAGGCGATATGCCTGCTGTAATTATGTACAGAATTTGTGTAATAAGTTATTACTGGGACACCAGAAACATATGAACACTTTCAGCAAGGTTTTTGCAGTGGCATGGGGGAAATGTCTCGGGTTACGACTGTAACCATAGTTCCCTGAGAAAGGGAACTCGCGATGCGTCAATCGCTTTGGGTACGCCCCCGGCGTGAATGCGTCTGAAGCATCTATGTCAACTAGTCCAATAGAAAGAATGAATGTCACGGTGGGTTACATCATGACCAGGAAGGGATAAAGCACATCCGGAGCAAACCGGCATTAGCTTCGAAATATTGCCGAAGCAAGCCGATCACAGGGATGCAGGAAGTTTTGCAGGATGACGCATCGTCTCGTTCCCTTTCTCAGGGAACTATGGTTACAGTCGTAACCCGAGAGGTTCTCTATCGAGGGAACTCGCGATGCGTCAATCGCTTTGGGAACGAGAATACCCAAAACGCCAGAATTACAAGTACCTGTTGTGTTTCAGTCTGTTGTAACTTAAGCACTAATCACCTGAGAACCTGGGGCAGCATCCAGGTCTAGGCTGTAAAACCTAATGAATGTGAGCGGCGAGGACCATCCCGGAGAGAAACCCCAAATAATAAGGCTTTAGATGCCGCCATACCCCTGGTAGAGTGAGCCCTGACCGCCAAAGGACATGGCTGGTCAGAGTACTCGTATGCAAGTGCAATATCATCAACTATCCACTTTCTAACCGTCTGTTTAGCAGCAGGAAGACCCTTCTTAGGAGACCCAAAGCAAACAAATAACTGGTCGGACTTTCTCCATGACGATGTCCGATGAACATAAGTGTCCAGTGCTCGTACCGGGCACAAGAGGTTCAGCCTTTCCTGGTCCGCAGATGTAAAAGGAGGAGGACAGAAAGCCTGCAGCACAATAGGCCTCGGAATCAAGGTCGGCACCTTAGGGACGTACCCTTGTTTTGGATACAAAAATGCCTTGACCATCCCCGGTGCAAACTCAAGGCAAGTGGGGGAAACCGAAAGGGCTCGAAAGGAGCCCTAGACAGGCCTTCTAGTACTACAGCAAGATCCCAAGCTGGCACCCTAGTGCGAGTTGCAGGCCTGAGCCTCAGTGTGCCACGAAGGAAATGTGTAATCAGGGGGTCTCGACCCAACGATGTGCCCCCCACAAGGGCGTGGTAAGCCGCAATAGCCGCCACGTAGACTTTGAGCGTGGAAGGACTTAGACCTGACGCAAAGCGCTCCTGCAGAAACTCGAGTACTGTGTTGACAGAACAGTTAACCGGATCCCACTGATGTTGGTGACACCATACGGAAAAAAAAAACTCTCCATTTAAGCACATATAATTTCCTTGTAGCTGGAGCTCTGGAGCTTAGAATGGTCTCCACAACCTCAGTTGAGAGACCACTCTCTATGAGCTGGGCCCCCTCAGGGGCCAAACCCACAGGTTCCAAATCTCTGGTCGGGGGTGGAATATCGTACCCCTGGCCTGAGACAGAAGGTCTCTCCTGATCGGGATCTCCAGGGGAGGACCGTCTAAGAGATGAATCAGGTCCGTAAACCAAATCCGACTCGGCCAACGTGGTGCTACTAGCAGTAGGGTCAATCCGTACCGGCGGACTCACTCCAGAACTCCTGGAAGCAGAGCAACAGGGGGAAATGCGTACAGACATAGCCTCGGCCACGTCTGCACCCCTTGGGGCTGGATGAGTCAGAGAGAACCATAGTGGACAATGCGTCGTATGCTGAGATGCAAATAGATCCACCTCTGCCTGGCCGTAAAACTCCCAAATTTTCTCCACCGCCTCGGGGTGAAGTCTCCAGTCCCCTGGCCTCAGCTTCTGCCTCGACAGGATGTCTGCCCCAAAATTTTGGTCCCCAGGAATGTAAACTGCCCTCAGGGAGAGAACTTCCCCAGAGACCATAGGAGGATCTGGTGTGCCAATTATCTTCGGTTCAGATAAGAGACCACCGATGTGTTGTCTGTACGGACCAGCACATGATGGCCCCTCAGGTCTGGGAGGAATTGCTTCAACGCATTGAAGACAGCCATCATCTCCAGGCAATTTATGTGCCAGGAGAAATGATGACTCCTCCACAGACCCTGAACCGAGCGGCCTTCCATTACAGCCAGTGAGGGAGGCATCTGTGAGATAGTAACTCGATGGTACAGAGCTCCCAACACCGGACCCTGGGTTAAGAACCAATGTTTCCTCCATATAACCAAGGCGCGGAGACACCGCCGCGTGATCTTGATTATACTAAGTGGGTTTCCCCTCGGGGAGAACCCTCTGGTCCTGAGCCACCACTGTAGAGGTCTCATGTACAACAGGCCAAAAGGTATCACGTTGGACGCTGCTGCCAAAAGACACAACAGTCTCTCAAACTGTTTTACAGTACGTGACTGGCCTAGCTTCAGCTCTTTTATGGCTGTAAGGACAGCAGCTACACGAACGGGCTATAGAGTGGCCTGCATCGTCACTGAATCCCATACCACACCAAGGAAAGTGGTTCTCTGTACTGGAGAAAGAACACTCTTCTTGGTGTTGAGAAGAGTGCTTGTTGTTAACTCATTATGAAGATCAGGGAAAAAGGGGAGCCCTCGTGGTAGAGGTGATGTAGCTGAAGCAAGGAAGCGCTCGTATAGTTTGCTTTTTGGACGAGCGCCCATTTTCTCAGATGGCCATTCAACATTTAATTTTTCAACAGCGCGAGACATCACTTCCACCAGCTCATCATATGCTGGGGAAATAGGTGGCGGATCTCTTTCCCCAGTGTGTGTCCTTTTACTGTCAACACTCATAACATCAACCTCCTCAGAGGAAGAGCAATGCAGTAATGGAGAGCTCTCTCCCCGGGCGGAAGAAACCGCAGCGCGGGCCTCCGACACCGGGGGGAGAGCATCGGATCCTCCGGGTAAGGAAGGAGAAAAGGCCCTCGGACCCGTCTCCAACTCCTCCGAAAGATCGTTTTGCGATCCCCAGGAATGCATTCTCCGCGTTGCCTCGGCAAGCGCGGGTCCTGCACCCTGAGGATCGCGGACCTGCCCGCTCTCGTCAAAGAGGGACAGGCGAGAGCGGAGCATGCGGAGCGGTAGCATCTCGCAATGCTGGCACTCAGCCCCCTCGAAGGCTGAGAGCGCTCCACTCCCAAACAAAAGACACAAAGATCGTGTGTGTCCCCACCCGTTAAATAACGCGGACAGGGAGAGGCACACGCTTTGTACATTTGTTTCACCATAACTCTTTCCAACAATCTTGCAACAGACAACAATAGACAGAGACAGTATAACACAGATCGCTTGCTGAGGCAACAGAAGCTAATGCCGGTTTGCTCTGGATGTGCTTTATCCCTTCCTGGTCATGACGTCAATGGACTAGTTGACATAGATGCTTCAGACGCATTCACGCCGGGGGCGTTCCCAAAGCGATTGACGCATCGCGAGTTCCCTCGATAGGAAACCAGATGCTGCTCAAATTGAAGTTTCATTTCTTGATCAAACGGTAAGGAGAACAACATGAGTCACTATTCATGTAATATTTTATACTGCAATAGACCCAATAAATGGTTTTGCTGCAAAGATTGTAAAGAACATACAGCATCTGTATCGCAGGATGATTGTGTGATTGTTAATATTCATTTGCAGTTGTAATTTAGTGAATATTTGGTCGACAGCTTTTGACTTCTGTTAATATTTCTTAATAAAAACCATGCTTTTAAATTAGTGGCATTGCAATTTTATTTGTAAAGTAATTTTTAATGCTCATTTTGCCGACATGTTTATCCAAAGTAACTTTGTATTCAAGATATACATTTATTTCATGCTTTTCCTGGGAATCAAACCCATTACCTCGGCATTGCTCTACTGTTTGCTACAAGAATGCCCAGTATACAATAATAGAAATGCTAAATATAACAGAAAGCTAGAAAAGAACCAGACACAAAACTGTCAAAACATGATTACATAGAGTTAAGAACTTTTGAGTATGCATGGTAGCAGTACTAAACAGATGAAAAAAGAAGATCAGCATTGTTACTTGAAAAGATCCTAACGATCATCTCAGTGGAACATAGTCTGTAATTTCAAGCTACTTCAAGAAATGTATTCTTCTATTTTTTCTAAAAGCTTTGTTGCAATATCCAGTGCACTTCTAGCATTATCAACGCTGAACTGCTTGTTTGGAATGTGAGGAAATTGGTGATAGTTCGGATACTGCGTTTTTTTGCCATCGACACCAAGTTCAGTCAGTTGCCTCACAGTGTTTGGTAAATCCGTCAACTGTGAGCTGTAATGGGAAACCTGCTGAGCAAGGCTAGTTATTGAGCAGTTTTTGGGATGCTCTCCACTTCTCCTGTACATTGCTGCTATCAGGGCTTTTTCCACAGCCTGATGCACCTTAAACAGACTCCACTCTGAGCAATCTCCTCCAGTGTCGTTGTGAGCTGCTCTGATGTCACATTGAGCCTGTTCATACCAGCGTTTTGCCTCTCCTCTGTTTGGCCTTGGTGTTTCTCTGTGGTATGACCAGAAGTTATAGTGTCTTCTAGAGTAGTTCTGATAGAACCTCTCACGCCCCCTCCTGTGTCTTCCTGCCTCTGTGTTCCAGGTGTCATAGAAATCTCGAAAGTCTCTCCAGGTTGAGGATGTGCTATGTGCAGGTTTCCCTTTTTGTAGTTCCTCAATTCTTTTCTGCAGGTATTTGAAAGCCTCATGGGCAAGTTCTTCGTTGCCTGGATTCTTGTCTGGATGCCAACGGAGGTAGAGACGTTTAATGGCTTTTTGTTTGTCCTCATTTGACATATTCCAGATTTCATTTAAGCTTCGGTCAATTTCTCTTTTGATTTCTTCAAATGTCCCTGGAAAGAATGTTTTGGGTGGAGGTCTGGACAACAAAAGGCGTTCTATATCTGTGCAAGTGGACCCTGTGTTGGGTGGAGGCCTGGATGCCAAAAGATGTTCTATAGCTGTACAAGTAGACCCTGTGTTGGGTGGAGGCCTGGATGCCAAAAGACGTTTTATAGCT